TGATTATTAATTCAGTTACAAAATATGCCATGCTAAATAAAGGGTATGTGTTTATTTTGCTAAGAGACGTAAGTTAGCTAGTTGTGAGCAATGAACTGAAGAGAGCACTTGAGGTTTTTATGGGGAAATATCTACAATGTATATCAGTTTTAAGATTGCAGTTAAAACCCCCTCTTTGTTTCCTTTAGTCCCTCCTGCATTGTAATGTAGTTGATGTACTTGAAATGGAACTGACAGTTTTACAGTGTAACAATTATTTATCTTTGCATAAATGTTTGATACAAAATATTTGTTTAGTATTTATTTGCTCACCTAACACAGTTTTTTATCCTCAGGCACACAAATTATTTTACTACATGTTAACATGGTCACTAACAGAGATAGCCACCACAACAAACCCATGTTACCAGGGAATGACTATAGCTTTTTGACTTTGATCCAAGGTCAACATAAATCCCTTGGCAAGTGATACCTTATTAATGAGGTGTCATTTGAAGGCGGTCACTAATTATGAATGAAGTAATTTATATTTTTTTACTTTTTCTGAAGAAAAAAAAAATCACAATGGATGAGAGTTTAAGATTGAAATTACTTGTTTCAGTAAATCTATGTAAAAGACATTAAAGATCATTTAAATATAGCTAAAAGTTTGTTAGGAATAATGTCAAGTTAGGCCAAAGAGAAGACATTACTTTGTGTGGAAGTGAAACTAGTAGATTGATCCCAACGGTACTCAAGCTATTAGCTAGAAAAGCATTAAATATGTTAATTGATAGACAGATTTAGAGGTAAGCTCAATGCATTTAAAGTATTTTAGAGTTATTATTAACATCATTAATGTCCATTCTCTTTGGTTCCTTAAGAGCTTTCTGTGCTCTGCTAAGAATGGTCCTACCAGACAGTAGCAGCAAATCTTGGGGTGACAGCAATAGCACTCTGTCTGATTTGTTGGTGACAGTCTAGTGCTGCAGCAGATGGTTAAGGGCAGTTGCAGCAAGAGTTCAAGAGCACAAATTCTAGCTAGTCGGCTTTCCATTAACACAGATGCAAAACTGCTGCAGCATGAAAGTTGGGGAGAGCTGGACAGGAGCAAAAATGTGTTGCTGTCAGGGTTGGCTACACTGTGCTAGCTGATGTTGACCACAGCTTTAAACTTCAGAGACAAATACGGATCAGTTTTTCTGCGTAAGGAAAAAAAACAACCCTGCACCATTTAAAGTTCAATAACACTAATACAATTTTGCAGTGCTATTGCTGAAAAACTTCTGGAAGCATTTTAAAATTGTGGTTACATAATGTTTTTACTTCCTCTTAGAAGAAGCCTTCTTCTGTAGTTTAGGTTAAATATTGCTATTCCTACTTACAATATTCTGTAGAGTTTCCAGTCAGAAACAACTTCCTTTGCTCAATCCCTCACTTCAATTTTCTTTTTAGTGATTGTAAATTGAGAGGAAATACTATGATCCTGCGTGATCACCAAGACAAGAATTGTTATTCTCCTGACATAAGTGTTGCTTCACTCAACTGAGGGCAAGAAATTCCTCTTTCTTGGGAACAGGCAGTATTTTGGTTTTTTTTATGGTCTTGAATGTTGAACTCCCCTAAGAAAACAGGGGAGGAGAAAGAATCAAGATTTGCATAAAACTATCTGTCGATACTTTGTGCTTCCAAAGGACGTGTAAAGATGCAGCATTCAATATTCTGACTAATACAGCTGAAGCGACAGAAGTATTTTCCATACAGCAATTAGGAAAAAATGCAAATGCCTCCAGACATCTTTCCTACAGGGTGAAGGTGAGTGCTGGGCTTTTATCAGCAGAAACCAGTCTCAAACTGTGTGAAGGAAGAATGGAAGGTGGCATACAATGTTTTTATCATAATGAATTCAGATTCTTTATGTAAATAAGAAATACTGATTATTGGGACAAAATATTTCCCTATTACATCACCTGCTTAGGAGACAGAAATAGTTTCCTTCTATGTATTTCCTTTGTGTAGGATGTTGTTCCTAGATACCAAGTAAAAATCTAAATCTAAAGAATCCTATGTAAAAGACTACAAGCTGTGCACAGATCAAACTTAGTCTTATGACTTCCACCTTTAAGTAGATGATCATATTCCATGCAAACCATACAAATACATATACACATTTTTACATTTATAATTCCTTTATTTCTACACACAAAAAGGAGACAGGAGTAAGGGTAAAAGAGGAAAGGGGGAAAGATAGGTGTGTTTCACATTTGCAGAGCAAATACCTAGAAATTAGACTTTATGCTAGTATTTCCTTTGGATTTTTGGGGGGATTCCAGGAAAAGAGCATTAGGTATTTATGTGACATGGTCCATTAGTGGCAATGGAATTGCTATTTAAAAGGAAAACAAGAAAAGCCCCCAACAAACCCCCACAACTCTGTCATTTATATTCACATGAAACTCTACAGAATGGAGAACAGAAAATTATTTCCAGCTGCATGTCAACTAGAGCCACTTTGAATAAGCTTGTTGGCTATGGGGTCCCTTCCTGGTGACCATATTCCCTTCTGCTCAGTGCCTCTCTAAATCTCTTCCAAATAGCAGCAGTAGGTGAGGCAAGGAACTTCAATATGAGCAGTAAACCTTAGCTAGTCCTCAGATGGATGGCATGGCTTCAGTTTGGCATTTTAAGAACAATATAGTCCACCGCCCCTATTGTCCCCAGGAAATAGAATTATATATTTATTTCCCCCCCCCCCATAGTGCTCTTGTCCTTTTGCAAGCAAGAAGTATCTAAAAGAGAAAGCTCTTTTTTTGTCTTCAATCTTTTGAACTTTTTTAGGTTCAAACAATTGTAATCAGCATCAAGCTTCTACTGCCTATTTTAAAGCATCTTGGACTTGTGACTCAACTGACAAGAATTTGTTCTCTCTACGTGTTTTAACATAGTAGTGACTTGTTTCTCCACAGGGTATTGAAAATGAAATGCTGGATGCTGAATGAAGGTTAGAATGTGGTTGACTAAGGTTTTGTTAGTTTTATCTAAAAATAAATTGATTGAAATAAACAATTTATTTTTAATTATAGTATTCTATGTAACATGTAAATTTTTATACCAGAGTTTAAAACAGGTTTTTTTTTTTAGTCTGAGGGGATGGTTTATTAATGTATACCTCAAAATACATTTATGATTTGCATTCTGGGAAGCAAAATGTATGCATAAATAGAAGTATAGTATTGCATTTCTGGGAAGCACATTTTACAGTAGCTGTATTTTACAGTTGGCTCTTGTATTTCATTATTAGACTAAAATACCATTTACAATAGTGATGTATGGTAAATAATTCAGAAATCATGTCACATTTTAATTAAGCATTTTGACATTAATTGCTTCATTGGAATCAATTTATACTGATAGCAGAGTGCACTTTATTTTACTGGCTGTTTTCAAGTGAAGGAGATTAATAGGAAAAACAGTAGTCTACTATGAAAGATAGGATTTGCAACTTTAACACTTCAGTGTTAAAAACTGTGGTTTATATGAATCAGGTGTCTAAACCAGCTTTTATCTTCTCTCTGGTTTAGTTACATCTGTCTGTTTCTTGTGGTCACAGATGTATTGATAAAGCTAAATGTTTTGATCTGGACCTAGTCCTCTCATGCTTATGAAGACCTAAGAACAGTTTGGATTTTATATCAGTGACTGCCTTTGTAAGCTAGCTTTGTATTTTCAACACTTCATACCTGCATTCAGCCTTGTAAGCACAAGGTGTGGGAACTCCTTACAAAAGTCATACATCTATGTGCATATGTGTATATACACATACACAATAAGTTAGAATGCATTTTGTATTTACATGCAGTACTTTGGAATTTAAAATATATTAGATTCCTACACTAGGCTGAAAATAGAAAGAAAGGAAATGCATCATAATACAATAACATTAAGACACCACTGAATTAAGACATACCAATATGTAGATATTTGTATTTTAATAGCAACCTGTTAAGAAAAGTGCTCAAATTTATAAAAAAAAAAACACACCTTTTTTTTTTTTTCTTTTTCCCCTTCATATTTTTTACCTTTTAGAGTGCTGTAATGGGCTATCATGATAGTTTTTATACAAAGCACAAAATCTGTATTAAAAGTCACCAGTACAGAAAAATAATGTAATATTTAAAAGGAACCATATTACTTCTTATTCACCAGGAATAACCAGTACTCATGATTGTCAGATATTTTAAAAATACTTTACTTTTTATGAGAGGAAGTTACAGTATTGTGAGTCTATGCTGGGGTGCATAAGCACATTTCTATAATTGCTTGAATAAGTGCCAAAACACTTGCCTAAAGAGAAAACTTAAAAGCTATATTCAGTAATTATTTAACTCTATGAATTCCAAATTAATTACACAAAAGAGAACTTTTGGCTTACATTCAGTGTATTCATTAGAAAGCAGCATGATACATGATCAGTCCGTATGCACAATCCATAAACCTCATTCCAGGGCTTTTTGTAATAGACAAGATAGGAAAACTCTGAAGAGCCCACTTGACATATACCTTTATTTTGAAATGTGGTGAGATTACTGAGAAGAGTTGTCTATGCATTGAAATGAAAATGCACATTGAAATGAAAACATAAAAACAAGTTGTGTTTGTCGTCAAATGAATAATTTAGACCATTTTTCAATAAAACGTTTGCAGTTTGCAAATTTTACTGTGCAAGCTTTGGAACACTTTCCACTATGCATTTAATGCTCTGGTGTTTAAAGAAACTTTTCCCCCTCCTCTCATAAGAAAAAAAATTGAATCATAAAACTATTTATTAAAAAACCACAACAGCTGTTTTGAAATATTACTCTCGACTGGTAATGGTGTTCACAATTATTTTCCTCTCCAGAATTTAAATATTTATTCAGTTTCTCTAAATGAGAGGCTGGAATGCCCATTTGGTTTACATCATTATACAGTGGCTTACTCTCAACATTTAAATTATGTTCATATAATTAAAAAATACTAAGCTAATAGATTATTTTTTTGATCCAATCTGCAAACACGGTGACTCGAGCATACACTCCTGGTCGCTTGGGAAGTGCACACTTATAGCCAAATGATGTTACACCAACCAAAAACCACTTGTTACCATCTTCAGATGTTAAAGGACCACCTGAATCTCCCTGCAATATGAAATTAAAAAGTTTAAAGTAAACATTGTCATCTCAGAAGCAGAGCCTGTTTATGATATTTTGTTTGTGTTGATTCTTAATAGTAGGCATTGTATCCCGGTATGTCTTGGGCACCAGAAGCAAGGTCAGTTTGAATTCTTCCATGGGGAAAAATTCTTCAGATAGTTAATTGCTTTTTCTTTTTTAAAGGATACGATCATAAGCATAAGCATAATCTTATCAATCTTTCAATACAGGGCTGAGTTGCAAATGTGGTTTTTTTGTTCTGCTTATTATTTTTATGTTTAACTCTTGATCTTTCACAAAACCTGGGTAAATGTGTAGGATTATTTTTTGGTTGAATCTCTTAAGCCAAAATGCAGTTCTATTTTTGGGTACCCCAGAATTTCTGCAATTTCAGATGTGGAGAAAAGGATGGTATGATTGCCAGAAGAGCCAAGAGTCCTTTTATCACATTCTCTTCTCAATAGTTTAGCAGATGTAGCATTGCAATAGATGGTGGGAGTCACAATTTTATTAATATCACAGCCTGAGTGGGGAATGAGTCAACCATGAGTTTTGATGAGAAGAAAAACAATGTATTATTTTTCATTGTCTATTGAATTAGTTGAACCAGTATTGTTAGTGTCTTCTCATGACCCTGTGAATGGAACTTTACAAGAGAGTTCTGCACCAACTTGGCCATTAAAATACTTAAGCCTGTAACTCTAGGGCATCCACAAAAGTTCAAATGCTGTGACAGCAGTCTAAAGGCTGACGTACTACCAGGACTCACTTGGTCTTCTTTGCTCATGGTTGAATGGTCATTGATCACAATGCTGGTCACTTGTACTCTCTATCAGCCTGTGGTGCTACACTGCTTTTTTTCAGTACAAGGTTCAAAAGTCAAAAAGGAAAGAGAAAAGCCACAGAGGCTGGGGGAATGGTTAGTGAAATTAGACTTGCATACATGCCTCCTTCTAGATTAGACAAGCCGGAGTCACTGCACCTGATGAAAGCTTAGGTTGTGAGGCCAAAGCTACAGCAATTATGTGAGAGTGCTTTTCATCAGACTTCAGGAGAACCAGCCAGTCTCCATGCCACAGACTCCATACTGCTGGAAGTATAATTAGGTCACAGTCAACTGTGACTGTGTCGTCAAAGAGAAGCAGTGTGTTATGATCAGAGCTGGAACGGATTGAAACGGGTTCCCTGCATGGGAGATCAGTGCAGAAAGGCAGCCTCTCCAAAATACTGTGGCGTCTACTTAGAAAAGGTCTCCAGAGTCTACAGATTCTGGAGGAAGAATCATTGCTCTCCCTCTCATTCCTGTATGAAGCATTTCTAAGACTTCAATCTATCTGGTATTTATTTCCCTGTACTCTATTTTTCCTTGGGCATGTCCCTCATTTCTTCATGGATTCAACAGTAATTATCCAAAGCCTAGTATAGAACATGTCCAGTCTACATATTTATCTCCCCCCATGGCTGTTTATGTCAAGATAAAACAAAGTATTAGTGTGGTGTATGCTAGCAGTGGAAATGGATTGCTTGTATTTACCTTACATGAGTCTACTCCTCCTGTGTCGTATCCTGCACAGATCATATTCTCTGTAATACTGTATTCTGGCATCCATTGTTGGCACTTTTCATTTGAAATGAGAGGGACCTTTGCTTCTTGCAATATATCTGAAGTGGGACCTGATGAAAATACAAAGTTGGTTTACCCACTGTAATAAATATGTACATCCTGCTCAGAACACCAATGATTTTGGTCCTGTTCCAGCATGCTGGGCACACCACCGAGCAGCAGGAAGCCCTGCCTCACCGCTGCATAATTCAGGCTTATACCCCTGCAACACAGTCACTGATTAAATGGTGCTCATTAACTGAATCTTGTCTTTCATTTGTGTAATGGGACTGAATTTTGTTATAATTAAATCAAGATTACTAAAATCAATGACTGTGAACTCACTGTGGGGAAATCTAAAAGATAATTAAGGGTTTAGGAGCTTAGATTGTCTGATGTTTCCCCACTACTCATTGTGTAACTTTGAGTACTTAATGTTCTTATAAAAATTTCTGTTACTAATTCCTACCAAAAAAATTAAATGCAATTTTATTCTGAACATGTAGAAGCAAATGTGTACAAGTGACTGTGGAAGTGAAATGGCATATTTATTATTTCACAGAGACTACAAATCTGAAGCATGTGATATACAAACAGAACATACATTACACATTACAGCCAGTATTCTTGACTCCTGAGGAAAATAATTGACAAATTCTCAGAAAAACTAATCTTCCTCATTGCTCCCCCAATATCTGGAAATAAGATGTACTAATTTCATATTGACAAAAGTAGTCATCATAACTTCTAAGGGGACACAATAAGGTTTTCATAATTTAATGATCTTACCTGTGTTGTTTGTTTTTTTTTTAAATAAATATATTATAACTCTATTACTTTGCTTTAGAGAAGGAGCAGTGGAGGGGGGTAATTCTTAAGTTTTCATATGGACAAATACCTCTCTGAACTATTAGACCTTAGCAATGCATGTGGAATCAGGAGCAAGCTTGCCCTCTCAGCTTCATGCCTGTCATAATTTTCCAGGCAGAGGACCCACCTTCATGCATAATAGTACCCCAGCCAGCAACGGAGCAGTTAATTCCTGGTAAAAACTGTTGGTTTTTTTCTGGTAAGCAGATAGGTTGTATGTAATCTGTGAATGAGAAAAAAACAATCAATTTCAACCTCTTCCCCGTATTTAGGGTTTTTTAAAGTAACAAAAGAGAATGTTCAGTAGTCTAAACCCACATTTTGTGCAAGATATCCAAGAAGTATTGGACTGACTCCAGAATGATTGGTTGTAAAAAATGTACAGCTACCCCGTCACCCACATATGCTTAACACAGTTAAGAGTTTTGCATAATAGAGTAAATCTGGTTTATGGGAAAATAGTAACTCACCTGTATATTGCACTTTGTACTGAAGGTGCATGAGAGCAATATCAATATCTTTTGTATGCTTCATGTAATGAGGATTTATAACTATTTGGCTGATGTTTCGAACTACTGTTGAAAGCTGTGTCATATGTGATTGGTCATACAAGCCAAGAACTGCTTTCCATTGAGATGGTTTTAATTGCCTCCTAGAAGTTGCAAGGAATATTCACAATTATGAATGGTTTATGAAAATTCTGAAAAAAAGTTTGGTAAAATGCTGATCTAACTTCATGGTAATTCATAGCATTTGCACATTTTGTAAAAAAACCCAAAAATAATAAAAATGCAGTGGATGTGCTTACAATTTTGTGATAGTAATATCTTAAACATCCACATTAAAGAATTATGTGGTTGATTTTTTATTTTAAATTTCTAATACATTATTTATAAAGAATTAATCAGACAGTAGTGCAGAGGAGGAAAACACATTAACTAAATTCCTATGTTTTTTAAACATTGTAAAGAATACTGCTAACTGCCCAGCAGGCAATTAATATCTGTCCCAGTTGCAAAATTTTTATGGAATATCTAAAGAATATTAGGTCTAAAATGTCTCTGGAAATGGTGAAGCTCATAGACTCGGAAAATTGATCTCTTAATTTCTTAATTTAAATCTAAAAATATATGCTAAGACCAAATATTATGTAATCTGCATTTTTTTTTTTCTTGAGCTATGCAGGCTGTTTTGAGGCTGCATTTAAGTTAGATAACTTAATTATTTGCTATTTTATGTTCAACTAATTCATATTTTCAAAATATATTTTTAGCCCAATTGTTTTACTGAATTGGTTTCTGCTGATCTTTTAGTTTGACATCAAGAGGTTATCTTGCTCTAAACTAGGAGTGTTTAAGATAAATGTTCAGAATTTAAGTATGAAACTGCAAGCTCCCACTTAGGAAAATTCTGGCAAAGTCAAGATGATAAGAAGAGATTTAACTGAAAAGGAAGTACCACACCAGGACCAGGTGTGGATATATTTTGTGAAAACTAAGAGGTCTTGGCCCTTCTTATATTGTGTGGATTATATCTCGTGTCATGCAATGAGGCAACGTTAATCTATTGTCATAGTCTCCACTGCCTTGCTATGTAGTTATTTATAATTAAAACTCTTTTTTAATTTTGAATATTAATGTTTTTTTTTCTTTGGTTGTTTTTTTTTTTTTGCCATTTCAGATTCTATGTGTATTTTACAGCACTTGTTTTTATTATAGATGTTATGGAAGCAAACCCTAGAAAATATTTAATATGCATCACTTCTTCCAATGGTACAAATAACTCCATCTAGAGGATATCCAATATTACGTCATAAATACACATAAATCAAGGTTAATTCCAGTGATGCACAGTAAATCTTGATCAATCTATGGTATCAATCTATGGTATGGAACAGACAACACTGAGTTTACCTTTATTAGGTATGATGTTATCCTTCATCCTACCGTCAGAGATTGAGCTAATTAATGGAGACCCACAATAGTTGAGGTTTAAGTGGAAATGCTCAGTATTAATACCATATACTTAAAGTGCAATTCTTCAGTGTTCAGAAAAGTTTCCATGATTCTTTGCTTGAAAGAAAGGACTGAGAGTTTACCAGAAAGTAAAGGAGCCTTTAGCTTAGCCCACAATTGTTTCAGAACACAGCGATTAAACAGTGAGCTAGTTGTTATTTTTTTTGCATCAGTGTCACCAGTTATTCATCATCTGCTGCCTCCTTAGTGAACATGCACATAAAACAAGTGTTACATCCTCATTAAAATAAAAAAAGAAAAGACATGACATGGTTGTCATGTGGCCATTTCAGCTTGCTGTAAAGATGCCCTGGAGTCAGTGGAGAGGCACTTGTGAATTTATATTCATTTAAACATCTAGAAACTATCTAAAAAATGCCTCTCACCAGTGATTTCAGTATGATCCTTTGAAAGTGTGTTTTGTCCTATACAGGACTGATCAATGACTCAGGTCATACTGCAACCCAGGTTTACTGTCCACCATTTGGATACTTGCATATTGTGAGAGTATCAGACTGTGTCAGCTTCTGAGTGCAATGAACTTTACCCATATACACAGTGTGCTGCTGTCACCAGCCATTCATCACTGACAAGCGAAGCTCCACAAACAGGTCTGGAATTAAAATGGAGTGAAACTATCCAAGGCCAAGCCTCTCTTCTGGCATCACTTCCGCCAACAATCCTTGATCCATTGTTCTGAGTTACCAGGTGTTTTCCACAAGCTGAAAATAAAATAAAAAAGAAGTAAAAACTGTAGATTTTTTAGGGGAATGTAGATTGTTTTAATAAACCAGCTAATATTCTTTGAAAAGTAGGCTTTATAGTATCTGAACTGCTACTCAAAAATACTACTACTGTGGAAAAAGTTTCATGTTTTACAGCTGAAATCAAGTTGCCACTTTTTAACTTGGATTTAATGTGTTCTTCCCTCACACGTACTGGATTTTTTATATATGTGTTGTCAGTATAGACCCATCTCTGGTCTATGCTTAACTCTGAAAACAAAGACTGTAAATTTCCCTGTGCTCAGATAAATTATGAGTATAGCTTTTATAGTCCATACTCAAACCTTTCAATTCAAACTATAAACATTAGGCTTTATGGACCAAACAGTTTGATTTCTGTGTGAAATATTCCCAGGATATGTGTACTTACGTTTAATGTTACATTGCAGATGAACCACCAGGTTGTTCAAGCACTGTTCTCTGGAATGAAAGTGCAGTTAAATCACAAGAATCTGCATACTGGGTAACACTAAATGAATGTCAAATAAGCACATACATACATAGACACATACATAAATGTATATAAACATATATAAATATAAACACATTAGTTGATTTAACAGTATAAAACTGTTAAATACAGTATTTTGTCTTATATGCTTAAATTATTTTTTTATGTAAATAGACATATATTATATAATACTAAATGTACATATTCCTCTTCAATGGACACCTAATTTGTGTATGTTATGGAAATAAAATTAGACTCCCCTTGTGTTTTAGGGAAATGAGTAATCTATGACAGATTCTCAATAACATTGGAACTGCATATGGTATCTTTTCTACTTTATGAGATATTTTTAATAACTTACCACTAGAGATCAGTGTGACCAAAGAATTTAAAAGGTTAATTTGATATCACTGTATCTTTTTGCTAAGATTATAATTCACTGTAAAATATACAGCTGTATATACAGGGGTAGAAATTATTTAGCAGAGATAAAAAGCCAAAGTCTGAAGAGCACAAGACCACAGATCAAAACTACTCAAGGATTTCTGATACCCAAAGGTTTTAAGATTATCTTCATAGCTTGTAATGAATCTGAACACTTGGAACATTGTGTGTGCTAGCAATTTAAATCTGACACACAGAGAAATATATCAGAGAGGAAAAAAAAAAATAAATCTGCTAAAAGCTTGTTTGCAGTGTGTATTTCCACATATTTTTTAAATAGAAAAAGAGAAGGATACTTTAAGTGTGATATGGTATTATATATTCTTAACTATTTTTGCTCTGAATTTTTTCATCTTTTGTGAGAGAAATAGCACATGATGTGACCCAGCATTATTGAAAAGGCAGAGTGGTTCAAGAAGGGCAAGTGGGAACTGTAACTACCCCCTCACCTCCCCAGTGAAATCTTCATTAGAGAGAGGTTAAGAATGGAATATATCTCCTGCCCTGAGTAATCTCCCACAGTGATTTTTTACTTCAAGATAGATATGTAATTTTAAAGATGTGATTTAAAAAGTGGAAATCAAATTCTACAATTTCCATTCAAATCTCTACTGAATTCATATGGGTTCCCTTTGGTAGTGAGCCAGAAGTAAAGGAGGATAACCAAAAATGCATAAACCCACAGGAAACTAAGACCGTCTTCTGCATAAACTTCATAGCAACTAAATACTCTTGACCAAGCTCCTTCAGTTGGCTTTAAAAGGGTGGTCAGTGGTACTGTATGTTATTTCACTTCAATTCACCAGTGCTCAGCTGCCTCTTGGTCAGCACAGGAGAGTCCAAAAGGCAGTAGAGATATTTCATGTGTTGAATACCCATCCTGTGTGCCTCAGCGTCACCTATGCACCAGCATGTTGGGCAGATGTCTGGACTATTTGGGACATCTTTGAGTATGAACTTCACTTAGCAGTGACAAAAGCACTTATGCCAGTGTAATCTGCTCACAAATACTTCAAGGCAGGATTTTGCCTTGTTACAAAGCTATCCTGACAAGGAATACATTATCTAAGGGCTTCAAGGAAATGTTTTGCTGTCTCTGCCACCACATCACTCAAGTCATGTTGTATGTGCCCTCCTTTGCTTCAGTGGTACTTATGTTTGAATAAAGACTGAGATATTTTTGGGATTAACAGAGTGTAATTAAAACCTAATTTTTTTTTATTTTTTTTTTTTTTTTTCAGGTAGATAACATACAGCAAACCAAATTAAGAATTCTCTCCTACTTTTTTACTATGTGGTAAGCTTATATAGGAAACCTGAAAGAACATGTACTCTTGTAATTCTCAACATGGTTTCAATATTTTAGCAATTAGTATTTTTCTGCCTCAGTGCTTTGGTAGGATTTTAGGAAAATGTGTATAGTAAGCCCTCTTATAAGCAGAAATGAAGTAATTTTATTATTATTGAAAAAAAATATTAATAATGGCAAGCCTTTCTTCTTTTGGAAGTGTAATGTAAATCCCAGAACTTCCAAATAATATAATCCTGTGCTAATATTATATTTTCATTTAACCTGCAAGAAAATGTAGCAGTTCGTCTGACCCTTCAGAATCACTTCAGGTGATATTTGGACTTAAAAAGATTAGAATGATTCACTTCTAAATGTGGAGACAAATCCAGAAGTAGGTTTTGAGTGGGACTGATTCATCTAGGTATAGGTACCTGTCTGTCCTATATCTATATTAATAAAGTAAATGGATTATAGAGTGTGACTCATTGTATTTCCAGAACTGCCTTGATGGATTTTTTTTTTTTTTTTTCAGGTAGATAACATACAGCAAACCAAATTAAGAATTCTCTCCTACTTTTTTACTATGTGGTAAGCTTATATAGGAAACCTGAAAGAACATGTACTCTTGTAATTCTCAACATGGTTTCAATATTTTAGCAATTAGTATTTTTCTGCCTCAGTGCTTTGGTAGGATTTTAGGAAAATGTGTATAGTAAGCCCTCTTATAAGCAGAAATGAAGTAATTTTATTATTATTGAAAAAAAATATTAATAATGGCAAGCCTTTCTTCTTTTGGAAGTGTAATGTAAATCCCAGAACTTCCAAATAATATAATCCTGTGCTAATATTATATTTTCATTTAACCTGCAAGAAAATGTAGCAGTTCGTCTGACCCTTCAGAATCACTTCAGGTGATATTTGGACTTAAAAAGATTAGAATGATTCACTTCTAAATGTGGAGACAAATCCAGAAGTAGGTTTTGAGTGGGACTGATTCATCTAGGTATAGGTACCTGTCTGTCCTATATCTATATTAATAAAGTAAATGGATTATAGAGTGTGACTCATTGTATTTCCAGAACTGCCTTGATGGATTACAATTTGGAGTGCTTATTTTTCTGTATTGATTACAGAGAGAAACTGGTGTGCCAACTACTATGTACCCACTGGTGAATGCCACTTAATTCTAATTATTCTACATTATTATTATTAATTATCATCATCATTATTATTATATCATTATTAAATTTTTATTTTAATAATGTAGAGATTTCTAGATAAAAAATTTCAGTAAAAATAGCACTATTTATCATTTTGGCAGTCAATGTATAAGGACTCATAAAATTCTACTGAGTGCTAGCTAAGAATGTAGGAAGCATCTCTCTTGTTTTACAATAGATGGACAAGAAGGGAAGAGGAAAGAGTGAGTTGTCCAATGTTATACATAATTCAGCAGAGAATAAAACCTAGCTATGATTATAGTCCAGATCTCATAAAGAATCTTGTTGCCTCTCAGCTAAGGTTGAGATAGAAATTAGTATATAAATGATCACCACCATTCTTTAAACTATCCTTTGTATGAGGAAGAAGCCTCACTCTACTCACCTTTCTATAAATACCAGGCTGTGGTTAGATGCTTTGGTGATGTTGACAAATGGGCCATCTCCAGTGAATAATACAGTTGATGACATATTTACATCTCTGGAAGGAAAAGACACACATGCATATTTTTAGGTGTTTATCCCGTTCTACCGGTGGAGGAATATTTGGAAAATGGTTGTGCTGGTGGAATAAACTGCATGAATTTTTTCCTGAAGTCACTATTTTTCAGGAGATTTTTGAGGCTTGAAAATCATGTGGATTGAAATGCGACTCACCTAATTTCACTCTTAGATCTTATTCTAAGATGTAATACTACCATAATATTAAAATTATAATGCTATCATAATATTGAAAAGACACAATTTAATTGTTTTAATAGCAGCAGATTCTCAGCCTCTGCATTTCTGTGCCACAATGAAAGGTTTGCAATACCAATTCTTAATTTTGTGGAGATAAAACCTAGTATGCAAAATGGAACAGTGATATTTGAGCCTTGGAATATCAGAGTTTTGCTTGTTTAAGGGGGTGTAATTACATTTATACTATACTTCTGTGCCTAGAGAATAAATAAAACTATAGTTTATATAATAAAGAATCTAATGGAATAAATGCTACATTCCCTAGAAATTAAGTTTCACCTCACAGATCTGTTGCAATCAAAATGACTGTGAAATATGTCAAGAGTGTCATGTTTGCTATTCACCAGAGTAGTTTCCCTGAAGTTGGATTTACTCCTTAACACACTTTTTTTTGGTATGTGTGTAATGATGTACTTTTGAACACCAAGAATTCTGTGTACTATTGCCAAGATAAATTGTTTTGATGATTACAACCCACATTCTTATTTACTTTATAGCCCATTCTGCATCATATACTTTGTGATATGGCATATGGCCAGCCTGGAACATACAAATGTGCTGTGTATGGAGCAAGATAAGGCATAGGAGAGAACAAAGGTGTTCAATAGCCCTGCTGTGCCACCAGGAGAGCTGTATAGCCCACCCTACTGGAAAAGTAATCACTGCAGCATTTCTTAATCTGGAAATTACAAAGCCAACTTAATCCTGTCTCTGGATATATGTATCTAGATAGATGTATGTAATCTAGTCCACAGATCTTTTTCAATATAAACACTAGTATAGTAATACATTCCTCCAGAAACCTGACTTGACCCTGTAGATGTTCTGGAATAGTAGTGAAGTGCCAACCTAAGTAGGCAGAGTCAAATTTTGTCATGAGGAACTTTACAGAGACCAGTCTAATCAGTGAGCTATGATAAGTGCAAACGTTTATAAAAGGCACCAAGTTGCTTTCTGGGAAAGTGAGCAAGAGCTTTTAGCAGTGTAAAAAATGAACCAGCAAAACTTAGAGTATGTACATTTACGAATATTACTGTCTTACATTTCCCATGGAACATTATACCATAAAAATATAATAGATTAAATTATTCTGAATGCATGCATGTTTTATTAATTGCTGCAACAGATCCTGTAATAGGGCAGACACTGTAAACCTTCTAAGTCAAAGCTTCCACCAACTTCATAATACTTGTGAAGATCTCTTAACGCACCTCAGCATCTTCCTTCATCTTTTTCAGCAAAGACTGAGCAAACTATTTCCCACTCTTCTGCTTCCATCTGTATTTATTTTTTAAAATAAATTCTGAAATTTCTGGATTACAGTTTAGAACTTCTCTGAAACCACAGAAGTTTTATTAAGCTTCCTCAGCTTTTTGAAAGAAAATATAAGTCCGTTTTTGAGAAAATTTTCAATAGTGTGTTGAAGCACACACAACTGGAAATATCTAGGCTTTGTGAGTGAACACAAAAAAAATAATAATCTGCTACTCTTTTAATTAACTTATTAAAGAGGTTCAACATTTCTGTTAGTATTAGAAATTATACATTCTTCCTGGAGTTATTCAATTTAGCAACAGTAAACAGTTTGTCTTGCAGGTCCAGAAATGTAATGTCACAGACCTTTAATTTCTGTTAGTGGAAATGTTCTCCTAGAAATATTGCAGATTATGACAAAAATGGTCTTTAAGAAGCTAACCTAGTTAGTAAGTAAGCTTCATTCCATCCAACAGGCTCACTAGTCAAAACTTACAGAAAACTCTGAGACAGAGAACAGCCTTAGAATGTTCTTACATGCAGAGATACCTGTGCAGTAAGTTCCTCTCATATTATTAATCTTCATGTACCTGAATGCTTACTACATGGATCACTATAATTTCAGTCTTTATGTCTGCCTCAGATGTTCTCCGTAACAATAAGCAGTGGAACAAATGCTGAGAAAGATTCAGGTGATGTGGTACTACCATTTGTGATACCACAATCTGTGGTACAAAAAACAATCTTTAGAATATGGATAGAATTGCAATTTCCTGATTGCTACAGTTCTTTTTGCTGTTTGTTTTGAGTTAGTGCTGTGGGGTTTTGGTAGTGGGGGTGGGGGGTGGGGGCACAGTGGTGCCCACACTAGAGCAGTCTCTTCCTCAGGCACTGCACCTCGTGGGAGGGACTCATGTCAGAGGGATTTGTGAAGGTAACTGCTCTAGTTCCCCTGTACTCTTTCAGGGGAGGCAGGATGAAGTAATTTGAGCCTGGGAAGAAGGGAAGGGGGGGAGGTACTTAAGAACTTGTTTTCTTTTTTTTCTTGTTCTGATAATTTTTTAATATTTATATTTTTTTCGCTAGTTAAGTGGATTTTGCCCATGACCATAATTGGGGAGTGAAAACCTCCCTAGTCCTATCTCAATTCATGAGCTTTTAGTTGGATTTTCTTCTCTCTGTACCACAGTGCGGGGCAGGAAGGGGTGAGGGGATGCCTGATTGTTACCTGAGTGGCCTATCTGTTCACTGTTTAAAAAACCCAATGCATTTCTTATTTGAAGAAAATATATTCAAACATTTTGTAATTAATTTTTTAGTTCTCAGGCTGTGGTTTGTTTGTATTTTGTTAAATTTATGTGTGAATCACGTAAGTCTCCAGAGAAGGAGAATATTTGTAAATTATTTGCCTAAGCTACGTTTTATAGATGAACATGTAGGCATGCCTCCAGATTTGCTTCCTGTTTGGCACATATCACAAGGATTCACATATGTGATTTATTGAAATCTGTGTGGAACATTGCACTTTCTAGCCCAGCTACATAAATAATCAGGACATGCTACAGGACTCCTATCATTTCAGTCCTTTCTATAAATTAAACAGTAAATGAGACTAGCAAGTGTATAAGCAAGTAAATCAAAAGTAAATTGTCCCAGATGAACCTTTGCCTCTTTCTCTAATAAAGCATGATTTTAGGTAATTATTCTGTATAGGAGCATGAACTGTAGCCTACTCAGGACCTGTTATTACAAACAACCATTTAGTAACAAATATGGTGCCACTTATTAGCAAATCTACTGCTACGGGTGGATTAATAGAAGGCAGAAATAGTGTGATGCTCACAAGAGTTATATATACATATATACATGAGAATTTTATCCTATTCTGTAGGGTCAGTAACAGCAGGATATAAGAATACAATGTAGTTTGGATTTAAAAATACTTTTTCTTAACAATGGGAGTATGTAATAAACTGAGTAATGGAATTAAAAAGAAGTAACCAGGAAACATAATAGGAATTTTTAAAACAATACATCTGACTATAGAGACATACTGAAATGTATTGCCACAGAATCTTATGGAGACAAAAGCATTAGTAATTTTTAAAAGGTAATAGAAACTACCATGGAAGACTAAGTTCACTGAAGCCTATGAAATATAAAAATGTAAATTAAACCAATAGATCACAAAATTACTAGTGTCCAGAAGTGATAGAGAGAAAGGAAGTGGAAGAAGGGGAGAAAGAATTGGAGGAATGTATCTACTGGCCACTGCAAAGAACAAAGTATTTGACTGAAGAACATTTAGTTATAGTTTGTATGTTCTTATATACATGCATAAATGAGATGCCTGCATGTACCAATCCTGATTGTAATTTATGTGCATAGCTATCTGATATTTACGTAAATGCAGTACCTACCCTGTCCTGTTTTGAACCAGGATGAAGCCAATTTTCCTTTTACTGTTTTGGTTTTGTTGTTGTTGTTTTTGTGTGTGTTTTTTTGTTTGTTTGTTTTGTTGTGTCCTCCTAACTCTGTGGTTTTTACAATTAATTGATCAGGTCATTTACAGGAATCCTGCTTTGGTTGGAGACCAACATAATGAATTGCAAGCTTACAATTTAATTTGTGCATTACTTGGATGGGTAGCATTCCCTAAAATTCTCAGCACTGTAAGAAAGATATTTATTATTTAGCAGATGGCAGTGAAGTTGCATACACTGTAAGAAATGCCAGAATTTAAGCCATAAATTTAAGCATAGATTGAAAGATATAGCATGCTGCACTCAACCCTCCCCACCTCTTCCCTGGAAATTCTGCTGAACAGTGAGTGAAACCAAATCTGTTTTTCAGTCATATATTTCCCTCCTCCCTCCTCCCTTTAAGTATACCTCAAGAGAAATATGGCTTCCTCTCCCAACAGCTCAAGTCTCAGGAAAGGTATGAAATGTGCTGGGAGCCCAGAGCAGAATAAACAAATTATTATCTTGAATTTACTTGAAGTGAACATTACTAAGACAGCAGAGCAGCGAAGGCTGCTGTTTTTTTCCAGCTCTGCTCTCAAGCTGCTCTCAGAAAAGTGAAAACATAAATGATGAGATCAAGTGATAAAAGACTAATAAGTTCACATCAGTCTCCCAATGTTCTCCAATATATATCCTCATGCCTAATCTGCCATTTCAGAGTCATCAATCCTGTAATGAATGCCATTGAAACAGAGTTTGCAACACTTACAATTTTGTTGGCACACCAGAGTTCACTTGCCACAGAAAAAATACATTTGCCCTTTTTTTTGATGGTAAAGACACCAGTAAAATGATCAGGAAAACAGCAGTATGCAGACTCAACAAACCTGCAAACAACTTACAAGAACAATGAATACTTTTCACTCACCCTAACCCCAGCAGCTGGCAAATACTGTTTGAAACCTGTTCATTCCAATCATCTGCACATGCCAGGTGCCACGTGTTCCCAATTCTGGCCTGTACCAGCCCTTCAGTGCTTAGAGAACCATTAAGCAATCTCACTGTAGACCAAAATGGACAGAAGCATTTTAAATAGGTAGTAAACCACCCTCCTCCCCCCTCTCCCTACCCCAAGCAAAGAGAAATGTCATATAAACAATTATTGCCAGCAAAGAACAAGAAAAAGTTAAAATACTTTACAGTGGTAGTAAACCCAGCAACGCCAGGATGTTTTGTTCCCACAGGAAGGAAATGTTATTTTTGTCTCCTTCTATATCTCTGCCACAGGAGAGTTTCATACCCTGTATTTTTCAAATGTCTCACGAATAGCAAATAAACAGTATATTTTCCATCAACTCTAACCCATATCTTTTCTTAGCCAGCATTAAGTAATTTCCAGATACTGTGTGAAGCTTTAGCTACATGATGCTCAGTAACACTGATTGGAAATAAGGTTAAAACCAGAACTGACAGGAAAAATGGATTTTCCAGTTCCAATTGCCATGAGAATTGTCACTGGTTTTATTGCAGCTTTAGCTAAAACAAACACAAAAATAATAAAAGCTCCCTGACGTCCAATCTTTCTATCAAATTTTTTTTTTCCAGAAGAAAACACTCAGAATAAAATTACAAAATGCATTAAGTATTTGGTGAAAATTCTATGCTGTCAGCACAGTGAGTAGGGAAATTGGACTATAAGGTTTAAGAACATCAACAGAATTCTATATATGTGCCAGGAGCTACAGCTGCCTTTCAAGCAGATGACAGGTATTGCCAGCATGATTAGGGAAAAGCATACAACGTTTTTTGAGATCAACTGTTTGCCAGTATGTTTTGGTTTGTTTTGTTTTTTGTTTTTTTTTAATCCTAGTTGTCCAGAAAACCTTTTCCCACAAAAATATTTCCACAAAAAAAAAAAAAGTGAAGCATACCCACTATAGTAAAAAAAAAAATAAATTAAAAAATAGAATAAAAAAATTAAATCTGATTTTTAGGAATGCCTCTTTGTCACCCAGAACACATTAATGAAAGAAGTTATACACAGTGTTTAGTTAATGGTAAAACTAAGTCAGAAGAAATTTTGTAGCAGTCTTGAAAGGTTTAAGAATTGCTTGCACTCCAAGATTCTTCAAATTACTTTTGACACCCCTCCTCTCTTATACCTAACCTCTAATTCATTCTCCTTTCTCCTCATCAGATCTATGTGCTTCTCCAAATACATTGTTCGTAAGGAATAAGACAGTAATTGAGCACTCAACAGCTGCTTAACTAAAATATTAAATATTCTAGAATTCTGCAAAGGAAGAGATATCCTGTGCGTTCCCTTTGTGGTCTCTGGGAAATCTCAGAATTTGGAATATTTGGAAATGACAGTTTGTCTTGTTCAAGTTGCCATTTCTGATAAGAAATTAGTTTCAGGAGAATGAGCAAGATTTTTGGACACTGAAAAAACTCAATGTGAGGCTAACTAATTGAATTTTCATATTATTTTAAGACTTAGATTGAATCTGCCAATTTTTTATTAAATAGTTTTTTGGAAGCAATTGTCCCAGTCCTTTAACATGAAGTAATTTTTCATTAAGTACTAGACAACTTGTGGCAAATGAATCTTTAGGAAAATGAACATTATGCTGATGTAGGTGATAGTTGCACTGTTCAGAGCTCCTTTAGTGATGGCTGGAAGAACCTGCTCAAGCCCTGTTTGCTTAAGAAGAAGGTGAAATTAATTTTGTTTTATGCATTTCAAGGGAAGAATATGTTTGCAACAAAATAGCTAATTGCGCTAATCTGAGTATTGTATCTGAATCTTTGGACACACATATATTTATATATGTTGTATATGTCAATAAATATTTACATAAATATATGTATGTAAAAGACATTGAAATCAACAAGAACTGTCAGCTCATATCCAAAGATATATCTGATCCCTAACAGTCTTTAAAACAAGGGAAGGTGATGTGGTACTGAGCTTAAAAGCCTGCTTTTAACTGCAATTAGTGCTCCATAATAGATAGGCTGGAGGCTGCCTCATACTGCAGTTTGGCTTCATACCCACAAGACTATCTGGGAATTTCCATTAAGGAGACTCTTACTCTACACTGCAGAATTTACAGTGCTGTGAAACTCAAATTAATTACAGCAAAATGTGATGGATTTTGGAAATATGAAATGCATACAGACAGAAAGCACATAATGGGTTTCCATTTAATCTTGAGGCTACAAAGGAACCTCCTACCTTTTCCAGAGATCTTCACCAGCTTACATACCTGACCTCAGAAAAGTGACTTTGTTTTATTGCTCCTGATAAACTCAATGAGATAGTTCTGTAAATTGTCACGACCTGCACGCAGGTGCAGGAGTTTACTCTAGCTGAAGTTTTATGTCTGTTTTCCTAGGTAATTTATACCAAATATGCATGCAATCCTTCTCTTTGTATGAAGGAAATCTTACCACACTTTGCTTCATCAGAGCCATCTTCACACTGAGGTAGGTTGTCACAAAGGTTATACAATGGTATACACTCCCCACTACCACACTGATGCTCACCAATTGCACAAGCTCCTGAAGGAACACAGGAAAGGAATATTAATCCATACTGATGAGGAAAGTTGATGTCCACTAGAGATCACAGACCACCTCAAAGTAAAAAGAGAGTTGATACTATGCAGGACCTTTGATTTTGCCTTCCCTTCCCTCCTCTTTTTCAAAATACAAATTCTTTTCAGATAAACAGAAGCCAATTAAAAATAAAATCTATGATATTAGTAGTTTCTGCTATAATTAGCATTGCTTAGTTACTAATGTTCTTCTGTTATATGTAATAAACTTTGGAGGGATGAAAAAAGTAAAATCCTGTCAAAGGTCACTAAAGATTTAAAGTTCCAGATTTTCAGCACTCTCACAGAAGTTTAGAGACCTTAACATAAGCCAAGTCCAGCATACAAGTAAAGAGGCATTGAAAGCCAAGAGTGGAAGAGACAAAAGTAACAGAAATTAATGAGGAAACCATTCACAAAAATAAGATTAAGGTACTTCAGTATCCGTTATCTAATAAAAACAGGTCAGAGAGGGAATAAATATGAAGTTATAACTCTCTCTATGGCCAAAGTGTATTTTTAATGGCACCATTCTATATAATTACAAGGAATATACAATTATAACCTTAAATTCTACTGAAAAACTGTTTGTGTTTTACTTTCCTGGACTTAGTGATGGAAACATTTAATTATATAGAAGTCTTATTTAAGGCAAGATAATTGCTTTGCTTTGAGTTTTCAATATTCATACACAATAATTCATTCATTCATCAGTCATTATAGCCTGTTGTACAGTATAAAACAAAAGGAGGTGGTTTATAAAAGGCCTGAACTAGATTTCCATGCATTCAGTGACCATAACTAATGCCAGCTCTCCCATATAACTTAGTTCTCACTTAGGCAAGTTTTTTACTATATTGCATGCTGCCAAAACTGATTTCTTTTCAAATTATGCTTCCTTTTTAAAAAATCAATGTTTCATGGAAAAATAAAATATGAAAAAAACTTGCTATTCTTGTAAAATTAATTTATTTACTGGCAATCCCTTTATCCTTGGGCCAACATGCTAATGTTATTAGTCTCTGTCTTTTGGCTGAAAATATCATGAATAAGCATAATTCTTTTCCAAATGAAAGATTTTTAATATATTTAACCAGAACTGGCAATGGCGACTTTGAGAACTCTGCCTTACTAGGCTTAATCTTTATTTTACAACAAAATATGGGCAAGGCTGGCTCAGTAAATATGCTGAACCAGTTTTAAAAAAAAGGCATATTTTGTTGGACTGAACAAATGTGATCGAGAAAGGAAAATAATAAGAAAAAAATGGTAGTGTGTCCATATAAACCTATCTCTTAGTCTTGCACAAGATTGAACTACATGAAGTTGTTTTTATATAGATAAATCAAAGCTTAATATTTTGTAAAGGCTAAGAAAAATAACATTATTATTACTGTTAATCTATTTTTTAAAAAGCTGCAGCTAGTTAAAAATGCCAGGAGACACTTCCCTTTTATGACATTTAAGGTAAGAAAAAGAGTGTAGATTATTTTTTAATTTCTATTCATGCAAATGGGTGGTGCTTCACACATCCCTGAATACATACTGGTTTTTTCTTTCTCTTTTTTTCTGCTGTAAGACTTCCACAGAAGTAATGCAAAGCCTCTAATTGATTCTGTAAAAATTTGGCCTAGTTAGTGTATTTGTTCTGGTAAGCATATTGCTGTTCCATGTACTTTAGTATTTGGCTTCACTTCACATGTTAACAGAGAGGTGATTGCTGAATTAGTCATATGAGTGACAAGTCTAAATGCAGTCCTTAGAAAAATAGGAGTCTTTCAGAAGGGGACTAGCTGGGACCAGAAGCATTTGTGTCCAAGTATTTAAAACACTAACTCTTCCTGTATTCTTTACTTGCTAAGGAAGGAATTTTCAAAGATGCAAGAAGGACCATAATGCAAACATTAATCAGAGTTACCATATAAATACTTCTCTTCTAGTGGATATGATTGACAAGAAATATTTTTAAAAAGCATTTAAACACACATGAATGACACTCCCAAATGAGTCACAGAGTGGTGTTCTTTACTGGATCTTTTCTAGGAACTTGCTCATATTTGCCCTATTAAGATTTGAACAGTGTTTTGTCCAAGTCCTGAGTAAATTTTTCACATAACATCACAAAGAGTTGCAGTTTATACAGATGATACAGATGGACATTGTTCCAATTACACAAAATCAATGAAAATGTCACTTTTCATGTCAGGAAATGTACAGACGGCTAAGAGATAGGCTATTTAACTTTTTCAAATTTCTGTTGATCAAGTGCCAAGTGTCACCTTCTGATCTCCATATATTCTCAGATGTATTTGGTCAGTGGTGTAATCTCTAAAAGGTTCATATGCTTACCTAGATTGTAGCCAGTAGTGAAGTTTGCAAGAAACCCCTTCTTTGTTTCAGACTCGTCTGTGAGGAGGATTACTGTCATCTGGTTTGTTGTAGAGAAGACATCTGACAGTGGGCTTTTTCCTGTATAGACAGCTGTTCTCCAGAACAACAACACATTTAAGCTTTTTTGTTCTTATCTATGTCAAAACGTTTTGAGTTCAAAAGCAAATACTGCTATCACATGAATTCAGTTATTCTCCCAAACCTAACTGCTATCAGACTACAAAGATCAAAGATCAATCCCAAAATTGACTTATCCATATAGAAAAATAAAGTTTGACTAAGAGATAATGCTTCTCTGCTTGTCCACATACATAAGGAATCTTATTAACTAAGATGTTGATTTCCATTGGATTGCACAGAAAGGTGAGTGTGTGAACATTTGGGAAATCAGATGTCAGATACAGTATGCTTTCCCAAGTTTTCCTCTTAATTTCTGAGACACAAAAGTGTGAAGAAACATAGAATAAAATTAAAGAGAATGAATTTCCTTTAATGTTATATCAATTTTTCTCTTCAGCTGTCTGATTACATTCATTTTAGTACCCAATGCTGTCACTTGCCCAAAAGTAACGAGTTTGGTCCTCTGCCGTCTCTGACTTCAACTACGTCATTAATGTTTTCCAGATCAAAAAACTGGAAATGAATTTGAATGTTTTTTCCCTTTTCAGCATTTAAATACCACACACCTAGAAAATAATAACACACACAACAAATTCACCTTTTCAGTTGTTACCTTTGCAGTGTCATTTTAATGTTGAATGATTGGAGGAAAAATAAATGTCTCCTAAACTGTTAAGAATCATCCTAGACACTTGGAAATCTAAATATTATCTTTAAAAGCAACTTTTGTTGTCAAGATCCAAAATTCAGTTGACTCTCATTCTCTCAAACACTTTTGAAAACTGGATTTAGACTCTTAAGACAAACATGCATTTTTTTTACCATTTGTGACAACTGTGAGCTTCCCTAAAGTAACAAAGCTAATTCTTTTTAACTGTGAAAATGTGACTAATAGTCTTATCACTTTATTCTTATTTGATAGCAAGATAATTTTTATAATCAGTCACAGAAGCCTGTCTTTCATGTTAGATGTCTTTTTAGAGAGGTATTTGACTCTGTTTAGCCTCTTTTATCATACTTACTGGAAATCTTGTAATGAAAATTAAAAAACCCCAAACAACTGGTTTTAAACTTTAAAAAGTTGAAAGTATGGAAGTTGAAAAGTTGAAAGGGTGGAAAGTATGTTCTCACTGGTAGGAAGCTAATTTGGTAACTTATGAAATGAGAGCTGTATCTCAAGTGGGACAGAAAGACAAAATTACAGCTTTATCATAGACATCCCAAAACAATTCTCCAGTTAAAGGTGAAGGAGTAAGTAATTTCATTAAGAATTTTATTAAGAAGCAATGACAAAGTTCCCTTCTTTGCTTTATCTATCAACGGTACATAGTGGACCACCTTGAAATATTTTCCCTTCTGGTAGCTGTAGCTTAATTCAAATCAAGTAATATCGGTAGAGTAATGGTGTCTTCTCACTTGTATGCTAAGAAATATTTTAAAAAGAAAGGATCCCTTACAAAATACATACACATTCTTTTCCCCTAGAAAAGGCTAACTATTTAATGGAAGACATAATGGTATTATCCTGACAAATACATTGAGGTGTTATGGTAAAATGGAGACTTTCTGTTGTTGGATTGATGTAAAGATATTTTACATAATAAGTGTGCTGGAATTGGCTTGTCTGAATCCATTCCAAGGGATTATGTTTGTCTTCACTTTTTAATCAACTTTAATCAGTTAAGGAATTTAATCAATTCCTTAGCTTCTGCTAAGTACCATATAGACTTCAGTTAAAAGATCCCACCGCATATGGCTTAGAGCTTTTTCTCTTGACAACATCTGACTTGGGAAAACAGATTCAGTGTCTCTACTCTTATATGGCCAATTTTTTTTCTAAAGACTTGAAGAAGAATTACTTACAAAAAGCTTGATTAGGGTAATTATTTGGAAAGTTTTCAGAGCTGAATGTACTGTTTGGCTCCCATAGTTCAATTGGCCCTCCACAGTCAGCTGAAAAAGAAAACATTTCAAAAATATAATTAATCTATTGTCTTACTTTTTTCACTCCATTGTAACAAAGATAATTTGGAACACGATAATTTATGACGAGAACATTCAAGCTGACTTAATCACTGTAAGGGTTCAATTATGGTGCCATTTGTATAAAGCTTGAACAATTAATTGTGAGAAGGCTACACTCTGGTAAGGACACAAAGCACTGAGGAAACAAGGTGTGTAAGAAATTCACTGTCCTTATTTTTTACTGTGTCTAAGCCATAGTGTTATCTACAGCTATAGTTCATATATTGCCATTTGTGAACTGCTAGTGCTCAGGTGCACAACTGTTTTTGTGATGGTGCTATGAGAATTCTGTCTCACGTAGTTAGTGGAAGGGCACAACCTGTACTTTGGTGATTATTGGTCTGCAAACTGCACGACAGGAAATATGAAGAAAACAACGTGATACTGTTAATTGTATAATTTACAAGTGCATTAATATAAAATCTAGAAAATGTAAAAAATAGAGGTAAGTGCCTCTCTCCCTCAGATGTATTTATGCACTTAGTTTGTATGTGTCTCCTATTATCTGATCAATTTTCTTGTAGCATTAGCAGAGATACTGAAGTATAAAGCCTATTTTGTCATATAAGCAACAAACTTCATAGCAAATAAAACCTTATACTGTTATTTTTGTTTCATCAGGACCCTAAAAACTTTTACAGATCATCTTGTAAATACTAAAAATAACCATTTGATTTTCTGTGAAGCAACTGTTCCAATTTGATCTTTATCATAAATCTGCACATGCACTTATATATAAAAAATTAAATGTATTTAAAAGCAAATATTTAAAAGCAAATATTGTAGATATGCATATACACACATGCACACACTTCCATACCTAGACATAACTAAATGTACTTCATATATTAATCTGTTTCAAGACACATTTTAGATGGTGGTTTACATCCAAAATATTTCAAACTTTCCAAAACTTTACTTCATATTAAGAAATATTATTCATTGTCACTTCAGCTGCACCATCAGAATGTACTTTGGTGTTCTCTCACTTCTGTTGTTTGCAATTACTTTATTAAAAAATAAACAGAGCTCTTCCACCTCTTTGAGGAGATACAAGCTGAGGCCAAAGGAACATATAATTTGTTTTGTTGTTGTTTTATTCTTTCATTTAAAATGGATTTTTTTAACTTTGAGACTTTGGCTAAAATTTAACACTCCCCCCACCACCCCTTATGGCTCAAATCTTATGTTTCATTATATCTGTCAGCATTGCATACTCTGAGCCACTTGGCTGGGGACTGCGTAATCTCCAAGTTCTACTCAGTTTGCCTGTTGAACCCCACTGAGAGGAAGCTGCACTAAATACAAAAAAAGACTTGACAGCCATCTAATAAAAGTTTGTTTCACCAAATTATTCCTGGCAAGAAGCACTGAACTCTCTGAAAGAGAAAGGAAATATTAGCAATGACATATTGACTAACAGGTATATTATGTTTCAGCCACATGGCTCACAATGTGGACTATTTTCTGTAAATGTCATTAACAAGAAATAAACATTTTTTTTTTATTTTTTTATTTTTTTTTATGGAACATTACTGCATGTACAAACACACAACTATTGTAAAACTGCACGAACAGTATATGATTCTTGGCCAGCATCATCTGATTATATGAGCAGAACAAAACCAACATTCTTCATCACAGAACAGGGGCAATTTGTGATGAAATCTGATCCAATGTTGACTACATGTAAGGTACATTAGTAATTATTTTTTCTCTTGGATGGAAAAGCAATAGAAGTAATTGATTTTTCCCATGTGTAGAAAATGTATTTTAAAAATTTACAGTAATCTTTAAGCACATATTAGCATGTAGTTATTAATATAGCTGTCACTGGTTAAAGAACCAAATAGCAGTCAGCACCAATAATCTTGGACATGTCATCCCGCATAATAGATGATTTTCTTAACACTATAGAAAATGCTAAATGACCTATTAATAAAAAGTTCCTCTGTGCTTTGTCCAAAACTCTAATTTATTTTGACATACACATCTCAAGTGTGGAATCTACACTATAATTTCCAACCTATTTTTTCTATTAAAAGGTTATAAATGAATATAAAGAAGAAAGCAATCTTCGTTTTAGATGGATGTATGAGCTGACAGTCTTGTGCAAAAGACAACAGCAAATCCAGCTTTGTTATCCCACCATCAGATTTTCTTTTTTTACTTTTCAATGAGCTTTTGTGGCATTTTATGAATGATGTCAAGCTCTAAGTCTAGAAAAGAAATTGGGTCAGCTCCAGTTCTTTCATCTTTTCTTTGTAGACATGACATTTGTAGTGAAACCATTAGATTTGGTAGTCTTGCACCACATCCATCAACACAATTTCATACTTCTTTGAAGATGATTGATAACATTCACTTTTATTCAGCAGGTTACAGATAGTGTTTATTTAGCATAACTGAAAAAAATTATGCAAACAAGTTTTTCCCCAGCAACAGCTTAGACTGTGGCTTTTGTATCATATTGAAGGACGGTATGGAATCTCTCTAATCTGTTTCATAAAGAGCTATATGACACATGACCACCTCCTTTTTTTGAATATTCAAAATTTCTCATCATACTTTGAGCAGAGATATACAGTTTGAATGACATTCTTTTGGTGTTTTGACAGCAGCATTTAGCTACTATTTACCCTTGGATCATTCCACCATTAATCATTAGACAGATGCTAACTTGTGAGGTGTGTTTACCCACAGCATCTGAAAGATGGCTGGAAGTGTCAGATATCAGCACCTCTCCACAAAAACACTGCAATCAAATTCCAGAACCCACTCTAGTAAACAATGGCTGAAATTACTAATGTTAGTAAAATTGTTTTGCTGACAGAGACATCTTAATGAACTTTGCCTAAACTACCTGTGAGTAAGACTTTTTGTAGAAATCTCTATTTTTCTGAAAGGCTCATGCCTCTCACAATAAATTACAAAGCCTTACTAAATATTTTAGTTTTTGTTTTTTGTTTTTTTTTTCAACAAGCTCTATTGATATCTGTACCAGTTTTGCTCTGAATATATGCAATCTTCCTTCTTTGTTTTACACACATCTTCCCGGTTTATAATGATGGCTACAGATATTATTTTCTCTGAGTGAGATTCTTCTAACTAGCTTTGTGAAACAGGAATGTTTTGAGGAAACTGTCCTTTCCTCTAAAAGGCTCTGCAATGGGTTTGGATCAAGCTGTACAGCCTGTTTGGCAAAGTGCATATGCACTATAGGTAGACTTTTTATATTTAATTAAATTGTACTTGACTTGGAGAAGGTGGCAAAAATGTGCAAACAAAACCAACTCTCCTCCAGTTTCCCACTGAACCAGGGATTCAGAAGAGATGCCAAGAAGACTGTGAGATTAAATGAGATGATTTCCCATCAAATGGGAAAAAAGCTCTGTCTGCTGTTACTAGAGCAAACACCTATTCAATACTCCTGCCTTACCACAAAGAGTAGAGTTAGCAAAGGCAAAGTTGGAAGAAACTGGGCTTAGGTTTTGACACATTCCATAGTTTATGTAAATTCTGAAACCTCTCATGAGATCAGGGAGTCAAGAGAGTACTTTGATTGAGATTTTTTGTCCACTCATTTCCTCTGAAACCAGAATTGCTAATTGTCCTGGTAGCCTTGGTGTTTCTCTAAACTTCTTCAAAGCAAATACTGCTTAGTTTTTGCTTTTTAATGTAATCACATGTAGTAGGAATAGCAATGTAGCCAAATGCATATTGGAAAGAACTCATTCATTCTGAACCTTGTTCCAAATAATACCTCTACTTTGGGTTTTTTTGGGGGGTATTAGTTACTCATATAGATTGTGCTCCATTCTTAAACCATTCTGGCACTATTATATATTTTTTTTCCCCTAAACATGGGATTTTTCAGTGTGCATGTGTTTTCAGAGCTTGGTGAATTTTTACTATTGAGACTTCCACTGATATTGTAATGTGACTTTGCTCATTCTCTTATTCCCCTGCTACATGACTTATGATTTCAAATGTAGAGGGCATAATCTTCCTTCTCTGTCTTCTTTCTTCCCCTTCAGTGTCTTCTTGAAAACTTTAGTAATTAAAGCCTTTAGAGACAAATTCTGAATTCTTTAATTCTCCTTCTCTCTCCAAGTTTTGGAAGATACTGTACAGTCAGCTTAAGCTGTGAATCTTTCAGTTCTGTTGCTATCAATAGAGCCATGGGCAGGGAACTTGATCCCTAGTATGTTATCTTGAAGATAATTTTGTAATGCTGAAGAGAGATTTTTATAAAACTGAAGGCTGAAAATTCTGTGTCACTCATACACAAATACAGTAACTGGAAATGGTGATCAACTGCAATTTAGTGTTTACTTACTGGGAACTGAAGGAACAGTAGTAACATCTGGAATCACTGTTGGCTCTACATATATACTTTCATTACACTTTCCCTCTGTCAGGCCAATGTCATCCAAGGCAATATCACTGGGGCCACGTTTTTTAAAGGCATCAAAAATAACCTGTTAATGAAAAAAAAATACATAATTGTAGCTTAATAATTTTTAAGCTTCCCATGCTGAACCATTCTGTCTTCTGTCTTGAATGCTCTTATTTCCACTGGTGCTACACTCAGGTGAGGGCAGCAGGGATGTGACAGGACTCCGTGTAAAACAAAACAGCACTATGCAAACTAAGTGGACCATTGTAAGGAGTGTAGGAACTTCATATAAATTATGAGCATGACTTGAAACAATTAAATACTTCTAATATATAAATATATGTAATTTTTGAAAGACAAATTCTTATCACTTATCTCATCAGTCCAAACTTCTTCTAACCTAATGGATCAGGATCCTATCTCCAGGAAAAATTGAAATGAATATAATTTATTTGTTATTATGCTTTAATATCCATATATTTTAAGTAATCCTGCTACCAGGGAATTCATGCTGGAGAGATATGGTTAGGTATACCACTCTTCCTGAGATCATAAAACACACATTTCTTGGAAATTTAATGCAGCCAGGTCACAGAAGCATTTACTTCCTCAGATGTTAAACATGTCTTTTTGGTAGTGCTTTTGCATTAGTCAAAACTACTATAGCAGGACAAGCTACCCCAAATACCTATAAAAAGCACTTGTTTTCAAGACTGCAGAAACCATTTAGCATACTCACAGCACTCACTGTTGACATTTTATAATCTATATCAGATTTTTTTAGGCTTTTACCACCTTTGTTTCCTGAAAACATCTGTTTAATGATAACATTGACAATGTTAAGGTTTTCTGTTTTCTACAATGATAATACTTTAAATTCCAGAGCAGGCAAGTGGGGGGATGGCAATTTAAATATGCACTCCAGTTTTCTTCATGCTAACATTTATTTGTTGGTAAATAGTACTAGATACTATATTTGGGGCTGTGGATCATTTGGTTCATTTAGCAGAAAATTCCTATATCAGTTTAGATAAAATAATTTTTAAAAAAACCTAGCAGTTTAACAAACCTTAAAATCAGATGTTTCGTTTAAAGTGACTTGTCCGTAATTCCACTTGTTTCCATAGTTTCCTTCTTTCTGGAAAATGATATTTTCCATACCATACTTATTACTTATACTAACTCTTAAACGGTAAACATTAGTACCATACATGAAATACCTGGAATAGGAAGAGGAATTTTGGTTTTGGTAGAACAAAGTGAAAATTCATTTTATTTTATAAAATGTTTTGTGGAATATGGACTAGTTTGCAGTACATTTATATGAAAAGAAAATAAATCACAAGTTTAGGTTATACATGAAGATTTACTTGCTATTTTGTTATACTTTCTGCAGGGGTCTGGTCAAGCTTCATGACCAAAAAAGTATTTCAGGGATTCTTCATATAATTTCTATATAAAAAATATTTTGTATGCAGAGTGAGAAAGAAAGCACACTAAAGTTAACTGCAAGACTTAAACCTATAAAAGAGTCAAAGTTTCATATCTGGATTTGAAACTGATAATGGAAATCCAAACAGAAGCAGGCTTGTATTGCTGGCATGCTGGGTTGGAGTAGTACTGTATATGAAAGGAAGCTATTTGATTTTATTATTAAATGAAGCATATATATATATATAGGAAGAACTATGGAAGAATACCAAAAGCTTAGACAAAATATATTTGAAGACACCAAAGGCAAACTCAGAATCCGGACTCGCTCTTCTCCAAATCCAAGTCCTGTGGGTGTTGAAAGATAAAATCCTGCAATATAATGAACACATATTAATCACAACAGAATTCCTATTTTATTTTTCTTTCCAAATGTGAGCTTTTACATTAAAAATAATAATAATATCAAGCACAGATAGTGTTGCATGTCTTGGAAGATTCCTGACACAAAAAATATGAAAGGTTATCCCAAGTTATATTAATCAGTCAATGATATATTAAAATTTTTAATATTTTTAGGTTGTTGGACACTCCTCAGAACTAGTCATGAACAAGGAAACTTGCCCTTTTGAGGTCAGCAGGAGATCTGCCTTCTATTTAGGGAAGGCAGCTACTGACCTGAGTGATTTCTACTTAGTTTAGCAAAATGTCTTTCATTTGTCTATGCTTGTGATTTTGAAGAAGAATTTCCTGATGTTTTTATAATCCATATACTAATGGGAAATATGAGTTGTGTGTTGAGGGGGGTGAGAGAATTACTATATTAATGATTTATAGCAAAAGGAAACATAAACAAGAAAAAGATATATTTTTTTTTTTGAGGAATTTGGTTTTTATCTTTTTCTGAGTTAATTCCTTGCATTTGGGATTTTGGACTTCTTGTTGCCATATGCAAATATAATGTGAGGCCAGGCAGTGGAAGCATTGTGATTTGTCACAAGAAAACAACATTAGGCAGAGTTAAAAGTCCTAAAATGAAATTCTTGCTTTATTGAAATAATGGCCTTAATTCATATTAGATTTTATTCCAGTGTGTGTGTGTATATATATATATGTAAATATTATAGTAATAGAGTCCACAAAAATATAAATATATTATTTAAAATATGTATACTATATTGTTATTTCTACTTCTAGAATAACTAATAACTAGAATAACTTCTTTTTCATGTGAGACATTAAGGTACCTGAAAATCAGTCTGAAATCTGACTAGCCTTTCATTTCCTGTGCTGATTTAGAAAGCATGCATTGAAATACACAGTGTTTAGCTTGAAGAAAATTAGCATAGCATTGTTTTTCAGAAAAGGTCTTCATAAAGTCAAAGAGATAGTTCTCTTTTTTTTAAAATTTCAATAATTCTCTGAGCATGCAGAATCAACTGTTGAGTATGTATTAAGTCCTTTGCTTTTCAAGAGCAGAAAAAAAAAAAAAATACAATCTCATTGCATGTATGTAGTAGCTAGATATTAATGATGAAACGGACATTTTTACTTCAAATACAGGCTGTAGAAATATTCAGTATAATACAAACATTATATTCAGCAACATCATACACCTCAGCTTAGATGAAACTCACCGAAACAGACATCATTTAAAATAAATTAGCATTTTCAAGAGAGCTAGAAATCATTGTCAAGTGTTTTATTAAATAAATTTTACATTCTTTCAACTGATTTGTATTCTAGGAGTCCATTGGGTAGATAAAACAGTGTTCTGAAGAATATGTAGAGTATGTGCATTTACTCTGAAAGAGGTGAATAACATGTTGAATAATATTTTTCTTTTCCTGGGAACAACTTCTGCCAGAATACATTGCAATTCTTTTGGGTGTTTGTCCCTGAATGAGTTCTGTACGAGTCTTGCTCAGAATACATATAGCAATTGCAAATCCAAACTGTGTTAATTAATTTTAGCTGGACAGACAAATCAGCTGAGAAACAGACTGGTTTTCCCGTTGAAGCAGGAAAAACTTGCAGAGTCTAATTATGGGATAACCATTAATTATCAACATTCAAAATCTGATTCTTACCAGTATTGTCTCTTGAATTAATCCTCACATTTTATACTTTCACTCTTCTAATTAAGCTGTTTTTTTTAAAGCAGTTGCTGGAGAGTTTCTGTGTTTGCACCAGTGTTGAAAATGAAGTGTGTTTAGTGTGTGATTCTAACTAGGGGCACAGGTGTGATATGTAACCTTCAGTTCAACATCAGATTAAATAAAAATTATTCTGTGACAACCATGAGGATGCCACCATTATATAGGGATGAAATAGATGTGATTTCAATAAAATGTGAGAATACTTGTTTTATTCGTTGTGGTAAACATGAAATTATTTGAAATATAACACTGTTACATAGAAATTCCTGTCTTAGATAAGACACTTCAGTATGCTAATAGCACTGAAACTTTTCAATCCCTCACATTTAAAAAACTTTATATCTTCCTTAATTTATTCTTTTTAGTTTTGCTATATTTCCACCAGATGTCAACCAGTAGCTTAAACTATCTTGCCTGGTAGCCTTGACTCATTTTTATGGCAGAAAAAAATTACATCCCAAATATACCAAATATGAGTAAGTCATTGTACAGTCATATAACATAAGCTTAATCAAGTTTTCCATTAATCTGCAAGTAATTTGTATTTAATCTTACCTGATGTGTTACCAAATGTATGGTCAAAATCAGGACCACTCATAGGAGGAAAGGTAGGGCCCTGAACTCTCTCCCAGTCTGAATCATCATTTAAATCTTGTATCCAGTAACAAAAGCCATCTTCAAAAGCGCAACTGACTTTCTCATAATCTGTGAATAAAAACTTCTAGTAAATAAAAACAACAGAGATGTCAAATATTTCCTCAGAATGACATGAGAATGAGTGTAGAACAATTTAAATTTTTCAATGTGTGAAAAATGGAGCCCATAGTGCCTCAATTTTCTTTTGTATGAAATGCACTGTAATTACTTAATAACTGTGTTCTTTGCACTTGTTAATAAAATAGTCACTGACAGTAGCCCTACACTCATTCATGGACCTTCTTTTTTGATCCTTCACCAGTAATGTGGTGGGGGATTGAGAGGACCCCTTGCATAGCTAATATTAAGGCCTAACCCACATATTTTTCTTTGTTAATATCTGGATTGCTCCAGATGAAAGGTCTCACCACTGGAGTTGAATGCTTTGAAGATAAGTGTTGTGCTCCATGAACCAGGGATGACTCTGACTTTGTCTTTCTCCTTGCTCTTTCTTTGTCTATACGTATTTGCTGCAACATCCTCACAACTTTTCTTGCCATAATATTTTGCTCAGTGTCTTTTCATAGGGCCTTGAAGTGCAGGCCAGCCCCCGGGAAAGGCTTTCCCTTGACAAGAGTTTGCTGGTGCACTGGATGCTTCCTGCAGCATATCCCTTCCCAGTCATATTCCCTATTCACATCCTGCTCAAAATTTAGCTGCTGAAGAAGCCTTGACTTTCTCAATCTGCATCTAATTTTTTTTTCTGACCACTGAAGAACACTGATACATGGATCATACTACTGATTTTTTTTAATTTTTTTAAATTTTTTTTTTTTTTTTTGCAATTGTAGATTTACTGCATCTGGACTTTTTCCATTGCCTATCTACAGCACTAGGTATTTTCCTGAATGTTAGTTTTAACATTTGGGACTACTACTTGTGGCAATGGGTTAGAATATCAAAAACTCTGGAAAGCAGGTACTGTCAGGTAATCACACAATAGTAACTAATGTCAACGGTTCAACAGTAGCCACCAGTGAACAAACTTGCTGAGAGACATCTGATGGAGACATGGCCAGACATTTACTGGTTTGGTTTTTTTTTAACAGATTAGCTTTTTAAGACATCAGACTACTGCTAGATACAGGCCTGTAAGCCTGCGGACAGTCTTCTTCAAATTAATGATTCAATCTTTAAAACAGTATGAAATTTCTCAAAGTCTATCTAATTACTGGACTAAGGCCAGGAAATACTTCTTCACTTTTCATCTCCATTTTGTCAAACTGAAAATATAGTTTCATCAAACTCTACATATACCAAACAAACACACACAAAAATAACACTTACTGTTTAGTTCACTTGCATTAAATGTGGTGTATGTTGCATTAAAGCCATTGTAATTTTCAGAATAATCGGATATAAACTGTGCTGTAGCCTCATGAGAAAATATGCAAATTGTCTCAGCATTAGTCCCTGACAGAGAAGCTGAGAACAAAAAAAGAATAATTAAGTCAGAGAGAGAACAATCCCATGCTCATTAAAACCCCCAGTGCTGTCACAAAAATACAATGGATTGTTTTTTTGAGTCTTAAAGAATGCTTTCTGTCTTGTCCTGTGATCCTGCCTACAATAGCTTCAAAACCCTGAAGGAATTTAGCTATTTGGCTGCATATAAGTATTCTGCATATTCCACTTCTCATTGCACCAGTATAGATATCAGCTGGTGGAGAAGTGTTTCTTACAGTACACATATTCATATCCATGCTTATGATGCTGTAAATGTTCTCATAATTTACAGATATGCACACTGAAAGTCTCTGATACTACAGAGGAATATGAGTTTGTGATGTATATATGAGCACAGGAACAATTGCAATGTTCCAAGAAGTACCTGGACGGGGTGCTACATAATCTTGTCTGCTTTCCATAAAAGATTGGACAAGAGGATCTTTTGAGGTCCCTTCCAACTTGAACAGTTCTATGATTTTGCAGTGTAACATATCTAAATTTTTACTTTAAACTCCAACTTAATTAAATTAACTTATATAATGTGAAAGGAAAGATAGAAGTCATAATACAGTAAAATACTTGCTTTTCTATCTAAAGCTGATATGATACCAGGCAACAACAGATTAGTGACCATACTCAGGATGAAATAAATCCTGAATTCTCTGCAGCTCTGTGAAAGCTTTTGCCCCAACTCTTTCTCTTCTGAAGTCCTTGCCCAATTTTGCACTATAGAGACTTCTCTTTTCTGAGGAGTAGTTATTTACCTACTTGTAAAACTGTATTTTTTAAACAATGCCAAATTATTGTTTAAATAAGTTCAAATATGTATAAAAAAGAGAGATTTCTTAATATATTATGGAAGAATTTATCTAGCCACTTCATAAGAGTAAATGAGTATAAGAAGATCACAGGAAAAAAACCTACATATGCATTATTCCACTTAAACATACACATACAATTTTTTTTTCACTTCAAAGAGCTTACATTGCCACTTAAATTTTATTAATGGAAAAGTGATAGTAGCTGCAAAATAAACTTACCTCTTAAAACCTTTTTTTGTCCTAGACCTTCAAAAATATTTAAATTGTCTGCATATTGTTGTGTATCAAAAGAAGTGAAGTTCACTTTAATGGATAAGCCTTGAGGCACTCTAAAATAACAAAAATAAATTTTAAAATTGTAAGTCATGTTCTGGTAGTAATTTTTTTACTAAAAGAAATTAATTGTGTACTTGAATTATGTTAAGCTCAAAAACAAAGAGAAATTAGATTTATCAAGATTATTAATGGAGATTATCTATTTGGTTAATTTTCGTTTGTAAAATTATCGAAGGAATAGGGCATAAACCTTTTGTAACAGTACAAGTAGTCCTTCACTCACTGGAGTTAGGTATATTTTAGGAACTAAATCTTCTAAGTTCTGAAATCTGATGTTCAGCTGAATAGTTTTTAATGTGTTGTTGTTGGGTTTGTTCAGTTGTTGTTGTTTTTTTTTTTTCCCCTGCATCTCATTAATTTACAATTACTTTAAAATACATATTACTTATATATATAATTGCACTTCTCAGATAGACTTCCTAAACTCAGAGGAGTGGTAGCATGAATAAGAAGATAAAATCTGTCTCCTGAAAGTCCAAAGTAATGTCTCTTATGACAAAAACAGGACTTGCAGGAAGATTTGAGGATCTCAAACCCACTTCTTGGAAACACGTTATCAAACCTAACCATCACCAAGTAAGTTTAATAACAAAAGTTATTCACTTTAACTGAAGTGTAAAAAAACACTGAGTTTTCTTTTGTTGCACTGACCTTCTTTCAGTAATCTATATTTCAGTAGTTTTCCTATTACCTTTCCACTAAATATACATGGCAATGCAAATTCTAAAACTCTACCATTATGGTCAGCTTAGCTTCCTATAACACTATTGCTCAATTATTTCTTTTCAACAGCAATCTGCTGGTGCTTATGTGCACCGATTAGTAGATAAACGTGAAGCAAATATTTGAATATTTGTATTTACTTTTTTGGTTTTGTTGTTTTGTATTTCTCTGTAGGAAAAACATCCTTGGTTTGAAAAGAGTTAAATATATAGTTGAAAGGCAATCTGTCAGAAAACTAATCTTTCAGAAAGCTAATCTTTCAAGGAAATGTTGAGAATACTGGTTTTGCTTTTAGAAGGGGAGAAGTTAAATCATTTGGGGAGGAGTTAAATTGTTTGGAAATGGAAATTTTTTCCTAAATATAATGAGAAAACCTTATCTGACAAAGAAAAGCAGAAGGGGAAGATCTTGGATATGTTATAGGGTGACTTTAAACACATTTTTATATGGATAACAAAAATACCAGGACAAAATGTCTCTCATTGGTTACTGGAAATCACAGAAGGCTCCCTCATAGAAGTGCTTCTGTTCAAAATTTGGGTGCCACATTGAATTTTTCAGGCCTTTGCTGGCAGTGTTACCAGATTTTTTTAAATCAGATACCCAGATAATAAAACCAGACGGTTGTTGTGGGCTTTTTTTTTTTTTTCTCCTGTAATTATACTGATCTGCAACAATTGTACTGTATTACTTGCAATTACCTACATTTATTTCCAAAATAAGCTTTTGCTTGCTACATACCTTGTATAGATATCTACCTAATAAAAACGCTTCTTGCATCTATTGCAGCATTTGAAACAAAATTAACAGTTTAGAAAGAAACAGTACAACTGAGACATGATTATTTATTGTGGTCAAATTCTGCAACACTGTGAACTGAGAAACAAGTCAGGCATATATTCTGAAGGATACAATCTTATGCTTATCCTGTGACAAGCCCTGAATTTTAAAACCAGGTGTAGCCAGCAAGTATTGGTGAATAGTATTGCTGAAGCTGAGAAGGAACAAAGATACTAACGAGAAGGAACACTATGACTTTCTTTTTTCTGAAGTGTCAAGGTGAAGAAAAAAGTCCTGAATAAACTCAAAGGTTAGTACTTTCAAAGGAATTCTGGGAATTAGAAGTCCAAATCTTATCCAGTTTAAAAGGCTTCTATGAAATCAATACTTATCAGAATCAAAGAATTGCCATTATTATGAAGCCATGGTAAAAATTACTATCTTTCAAAGCAGTAACTTGTGAGTTAGCAGTCATTATAGGGACTTTAGGAGCTTCCAACTTTCGATAAATTAGCTTTGTTGTGTACTTTAGGATGAGATTTATCAGACACTATTGTTATCTTTTTATCTCCCTGGCCTATGAAGTGGACTTAGCATGTTTAAGTAAGATAATTGTTCCTCTCTCCAGGTATACACCTTGATTAAAAAATTCTACTTCTTTTGCTTAGTCCTTAAAGGCATTTGGTGTTATTATGTCAAATGATACTCGTAAAATTTTAAATTGTATTCCTAAATGAGTTAGGAGCACAGATGCTGTTATTGCCCAGGTGGAATGTATACCTGCAAATGACAAAGGTATTATTGAAAATTCTATCTGCTAGTAACAGTGCTATCCCATAAAAATATTGCTTAAAGATTAATACTTACTGTACAATTTTGAAACAAATATCTTGCAATTATTTTGTGGGGTTTTTTTGTTGTTTTTTTGTTGTTTTTGTTTTATCTTACAAATATGTTCCCATGCATGTATATAATACACAAGATTTCTCAAAATCATACCTAAGAATTTTTGTAAGTGGTAAAATTATTGACATTGTTCTGGTTTTAGGTATGAAAGTTTTAATGTAAAAGTTACATAAACACAAAGGATATAATGGTATTACAAATTTTTTCTGTTAGGTTATTTGGAAATGCAAACAAATGGCATAAGGTTCTTGTGCAGGAAACCAAATCACTTCATAATAAAAGAAAAAAAGTGTTAGGTAAAAAATTATTGGAAAATGGCTTACAGTATAATCCATTGGCAAACAATATTTGCATTATATGGCTTTGGATAATTCATAGAGTGAAAGAACCCAGAGGAATCAGTCAACATAAATTTTCCATCACAAACTGCAGCTGTAAAGATATAATGAAGAACATTTGTCAAAACACTATTTGAAAAACAGAATCAGAGCCAAAATGAGGGCAACCTTAGCTATTGATTTACATGGATTACCTTGGAAATGCTTCATAAGTAACAGTGGAAAGACAAAGTAACACACTAACAACTTTCTCCTGTTTTTAATTCCTAGGACTATTTGATCATAGAACCCCAGAATTTTAGGGGCTGGAAGGGACCTCAAAAGATCATCTAGTCCAACCCCTCTGCCAGAGCAGCGTCACCCAGAGTACATCACACAGGAACGCGTCCCTCTGTGCTGGACTTTCTCAAGGAGTTCCCTGTCCTTGAACTGAGGGGCCCAGAACTGGACACAATGTTCCAGATGCAGCCTCACCAATGCAGAATAGAGGGAGAGCAGAACCTCCCTTGACCTACTAACCACACACTTTCTAATGCACCTCAGGGTGCCATTGGCCTTCTTGGTTACAAGGGCACATTGCTGGCTCATGGGCATCCTCCTGTCCACCAGGACCCCCAGGTCCCCTTCTCCTACACTGCTCTCCAGCAGGTCAGCCCCCAACCTGTACTGGTACATGGGGTTGTTCTTCCCCAGATGCAGGACTCTACACTTGCCCTTGTTGAACTTCCATCAAGTTTCTCCCCATCCAACTCTCCAGCCTGTCTAGGTATTGCTGAATGGCAGCACAGCCTTCTGGTGTGTCAGCCACTCCTCCCAGTTTAGTGTCATCAGCAAACTTGCTGAGGGCACACTCCGTTCCCTCATCCAGGTCATTGTTGAAAATACTGATGTCAAATTACTATATGAGAAGAAAAGCAATACATTTAAGCCACCTTTAAATTTGAGACAACCCAAGTAATCCAAACAATTAATATCCAGTGATTGGATTCAACTAATCTAACTGTCTTTGATTTAATTTAATTTTGTACATTTGTGAGGAAACAGGATCTTGCCTTAAATTTTTAATCCACAGCTACTTTAAATCAGGAAACTGTTTGCACTACCAGAAACAATTTTATATCCTGTGAATAAAAGCAAGAAGAGATACAGTTACTTATTGCTATATCTGCTTTTATGAGCTTCCTAGTTACTTGCCTTATATGTTACTAAGTACTCAAAGATATAAGTAGATATCAAAACTTCTTTGCCAGCTATGTAATCCATCCCCCTCAGGTAAATGTCATCCATCATCACACATTTTTTCAAAAAGCTTTTACTATTTTTTTTCTCTTGGTGCTGCTATTCCATCCTATGCATGTTCTTTGGTTTTAAAATCAGCTATTTAAAAGAAAAATATTTTTAATCCTCAGCATGATTGAAAATGCTAATTCATGCAGCATTATTTTATTTCAGCAGACACTGAAGCACTGTTGAAGCTTTTGCTGTATGTCTTGAACATTATGTTAGGTTTTTCTTCAGTTTTTCAGAAAGTATTGTAGAGCTTTCAAATCAGTACCACACATGATTGTCTGGAGAGGTAAGGACAAGTTCATCAATTTGAGGCAGATAATCAGAAATTAGGTGGAGCTTTTCCTTAACATTGGAAATGAAATCATACTAAAATGAGTATTCAAATTATGAATAATCAATTATATTGAAAAGCAAATGGAAATTTTATTAAGTACAGTCCTTCTGTGGGAACTGATGTATTACATGATAAATTAGCACTCTTTGTTTATTTATTTTAGAAGTGTGAAATTATTTCCGACTACTACCGTACCAAATACAACAAAAAAATTAAGCTTTGTTTCAGCAAGTTTCAGTTGCACTGTTAGCAGAGACTGCAGAATTGACTTCACTAATGGTGATTTATCTAATGCATGAGCTGGAATGGAAACATACTCCCTTTTGCAATTTTCATGGCCTTTGAGAAGAAAACAGAACACATTATTTTAGTCTGAGTAAAGAGGTGTGTGAAAGAGAGGGTTACTATTCTAGATGAGCTTTCTAGCTAACTGGGCTACAGCTTTAGAGATGGGTATTTGTACAGAAGTACTTTTTTGGTCCATTTTAATTCATGTGTTTCCCATCCTTACCAATGGGCTAATGTTTACAATCATTTCCCATTGAGAAGAATAAAGTCGGTTTTGGGAGGAAGGAAAGTGCCCAGCTTGTTATTAATGAAGTGTGAAAAAAAATGGTTTTTAACAAGTGGTTAGCAAGACACATCCTGATCTAAAAGGAGTTAATAACACTGGCAGTGATAAAAGAGATATAACACACTGTTCTAATAAAAGTAATGACAAATTTTGCTCCTGACAACAATTAATTTAGTTTGGTATTTTTCTTTGTGTTTTGTTTTTTTTTTTTTTTGGTTGGTTGGTTGTTTTTTGACCCTTTATCTCTTAAGAGACAGTGAGTAACTTGAAACAGGACAGAAAGATTCAGGGAAAATTGCCTAGGCTGCTCAGTGATTCCTTGTTGCAGGTAGGAGGCAGGTGGCTAAAGCCAGGCAGGGTCACAGAAGTTGTCACATATCTGCCTTCTGGAGCTATCAGAGAAGCTTTTGTTGTTCTAAGTACACAGGAGGCATCTTTTGTAGGAACCACTATCACTGCTTGCCAAACATGCATCTAATTTGTTGTCCGTTTCTATTTGTTGAATACAGGGCACATTAGGAGGACTTAAACCTGTGTTCTTGAATTGCAGGAAGAAGCTCACCAAACCGGTCAGATCAAGCCTGTACATTTCACTTGACAGGACCTCTCTGTACCAAGAACAGTACATTATGTTCTGGTTTACATATGATTAATCTCTCTTAGTACTGCAGTGATGCTGTGAGGTAGGTAATCACAAAATGTTAGCCTAGACATATGACTGCATAGAACCTGCAGAGAGAAACACCTCCTAGACTCAGCCTCCACTCTCACTCTCCTTACACTTATGTGCGACATGGCTGCTTTTCAGCATTGCCCATTGTTGCTGTTCAGACTTCCACCTTTCTCTAGAGACCCTTTCATTGAAATTGCTAACTGCAAGTTTACAATGCCTTTTGTTACTGTACTGCATTGCAGAAAGAAGCCTTTCAAGATAATTTTAATTAATAAAACAAAAAATGAATGTGTTCCATTTCCTGAATCTCTGCTGATAATCTGAGATTTTGCTGAATTCTGTGTAATGCATAAGAGGAATATTAAAATTCATCCTTGTATCTTATATTTTAAAACCACTAACATATTCTAAAACCACTGAAGTATTCTAAAATTTCAAGTAATAGTGGAAATAACAATCAAGATGAAAAAAACAAAGTGGTTTTAGGGGTAGCAATCACTGAGAGCAAGAACACTTGTAGCACAAATTATGAATTGGCTGTAAACCTCATTGTGAAAATCTGCTGCTTCTGAAAATCTAGACAATGTTAGTTTCTGTATTAAGTTACTCTAAGGATGTGCATATGACTTATTGTCATTCATTCTATTGTTTTTGCAAAGTCTGCTAAGAAACCAAAATACATAAATTCAAGAAATCTCTATGGAAAATTTTAGGACTGAAAATATAACATGAGAGTCATAGAGCAACAATTTGTCCTCCAGCCAGAATTATATTTTTGTCAGTTTCTGAGCCGAAACAGCTAAACTAATGGTAACTGAATGAATTGCTTGGAACTACTAGGCATCCATGAAGAGAAACTGGGGCAAACCATCCAGCTTCCTGAAGTGTACTGTATCTAACTAGTTTTATTATGACATTCTGTCTATTTTTACTTGCATGCACATTCCTGAAATTTTCAGCTCAGTTTTGCACATAGTTTCATGAAAACACTGTTTGAGAAATCATCCTTATTTACAAAGAAACAGGGCATTCACAACTTATATTTGTTAGAGATTCAGGGAGAGATGCAAATTAGGTCTAAAAGCCATGTGTGTAAGAGGCTAAGACTCAGCTGAGAAACTCTGTTAAGGCACAATTCATATTTGAAACCACCGTGTATCTTCCATGGCACAGCTGAGTTATGTCTACATAGCTTTGACTGCAAGTAGGTGAGCTTATTTTTGTCTGTATCTACCAGTGTATGAATATCAATTGCATTCTCTCCTATATAAAGGTCTGATGGTAGTATCTTTAATAAAATGTGAGCAAAATTCTAAACTCGCACCTAGTAATTCATAGTAATTAAAAAACATTCACTTTAATCAGATGTATAATACTACTTTTTGAGTAGTACTATAGCAGTAAGTATCTGCACACTTATTTAGTCTAGTTAAAGCTGCTTCAGGACTTTCTGATTTCCTCAATTGTAGAGGGGCCTGCTCAGACCCCATCATTGTTATGATATAGCTGGAAGCAACATTTACATGTGTTTCAATGGATAGCATACTGAAGTATTTTGATTGATATTTTTCCTCAGAAGTTCAGCTAAGTCTCCTTTCAGAGTTGGCTGAACTCAGAAAAATGCAAGTAATGGGCAGGTTTGCAATTCAACTTTATTTTCTGAAGAAAATTCCACCTGTGGCAGAAGGGGTCAGCATGTCACCAGCCTTCAGAATAAGGCTTGCAGATTTCAGAAAACCAAAGAAAACCAAAACAAACCAAACTTGCTTGTTACTTGCTTGTTAGTTTTTAAACCAGAACTCAGCATTTTACATGTTTCTGAAAGCTCAGACCAGACTTCCCCCATCATTGCTCTCAGGGAAGCTCAGAGAGCTGTTCTCACAGCAGAAGGGAAATAAGTTCTCTATACTTCTAGCACCAAATTCTGTATTTTAAAAAAACAAACCAACCAACCACTCAGAGTTTACTGTTCCAGCTTCTCCTAAAACATTTGGAAAGATCTTTTTGCAAGAAAACTTCACAGATTTCTAACTGAGAGCAGAGCCTGTGAAGAGCAAGAGACTGAGCAGGCAGCACTAACACGAATACTTCCCTACCAAAAGCTGCATACACACCTTTTGGTAATCATCAATAGAGTCAGACTCCTTAGAACAATTTCATGGTGCTCACTACTCCATGGAGCAGTGGCTGCTTTGCACAAAAAAGTGCTCAGTGAAACTAGGCCATAAAATAAAGACAAACAAACTCACTGGCACTGAAGGATACAACATTTTTCTGTTAAAAAACAACTGGGTTTTGGGTTTTTTGATGAATCACAGAAGGGTTGAGATGGGAAGGGACCAATGGAGGTAAACTGGTCCAACCCCCTGCTCAAGAGCTGGCTGCCCAGATTTTCACATCATCATCTTGCACCTCTCACTGTAGCGCCCACAACTCAGACATTTGGGTTAGAGTCCTACAGATGCCCAGTACCCAGCACTCAGAGAGATGCAGGAGGGCGGTCAGCAGAGTCAGAGTTCCTGCCTGGGCTCCATCCTGCCATGTACAATATCAATGTACCTGAGTTTACATAGTAAGCTGGGAAGAGCTGTTTGCAGTGTTTTCTGTGATGACATTCCTAATGTCAGAATCAAAAGAGAAACCTCTCTTCTGACTCCAAATATGCCATTATATGGTATCTGACACTAAATAACGTGACTTTATATCTGCATAGGGTCATAATTTTCATTTATTTTGAGAGAACAGTATTTGCTATTGCTGGTACACAACTTCATATGAAACATATTATTACATAATTGACATTATATTTATTTATACTACTACTATTTTCTTAGCAAACAAAATTGTTATTTTATACTGATATAGCCTGATTGTAATATTTCTTCATTATTTATTAAGCAATTCTTAATTAATGACAATTTTAAATAAAACTGTTTCCATTTATAAGATAAACATTACAATGACCATGCTACTGGTTTTACTAAAATTGATTTGGACTTCACCATGCAGTTTATTGTTTATTTTAAAACTACTGACAGGTTTAAGTATGTTTAAAAAGACTGATTTACAGGAATTTATATTCTTACCACATCTTTTTTCAGATTCATCTGAGCCATCTGGACAGTCCAAGACTCCATCACAAAATAAATCTTTTCTAATGCAGGTTACACCATCATCACAAAGTTTAGCAGGTGGCAAACACTCAGCTGAAATAATAAGGACAACAGCAATAACAGCACAGCAGTAATGCAGTTTCACTACAAAGGAAAGTTGATTTACTTCTGATTACTCTAGCACAAATAAAATCAACCATTTTATTGTGTTTTACAAAACTGCATTTTTACAAGCCTGGAATGAAATATCACATACTAAAAAGATAAACTTGGATCAGGATGGAGGAGGTCTCAGAAGTGACATATTTCTTGAAACTGAGCTTGAAGCAGGGCTGGCAGAAAATCTCCATAAAATCCCAATTCCTTCCTCTACCAACGTAAACTACTTTATGAAATATAATTAATGACGTTTTCCAGTTTCTCATGCTTGAATAACATGAGAAAACTGTACTTTGGTTTAAATAACAGTGAACATTTCTGATTTGAGTTTAATACAATTTAATTTCTTGAAATTCAGCACACAACAATGATTCACTTCATCATGATAAAGCATCTCATTTTAACTGGCATATCCTGAAAATTTAAGTTTAAGTTTTAAGACTGGATTTCTAAATACCAGGAATATAAGAAACTCCATTATTTTCACATTTGCAAATTAAAGGCACAAATTAAGAGCAAATTTGTGCAAAAGAATACATGAGCAGATCCTTTAAATCATGGAATCTCGGTATTAATATTTTCCTGGAGCATAAATACTCATCCACTGCAAAAATGCTCTCTTAGTTTTTTGCCAGTTTTGGTGTTAGACATCTGTAGAATGTATGCAGGTCCTAATAAAGTGAACAAAAACTTGCAGCCAAAATAAGTTTCAAAACTACTTTCAAAATTATTGAAGACATCATAAAATTATATGGAAGCTATTCACCTAGTACTACTCACACAGTTCCCTTTCTTTGCTTCAGTAAACACTTACTGGAATAAGTCAACATTTCTTATGCAAGCAGGAAAAATATTAATTTGTATAACTGATCTTGCAGATTCTAACCATTTTTTTCGGATTTATTTTTTCATAAAACTCTTATTTATGTAATTGGATTAAGTAAATGCTTGTATGATATCATATTGGTTGATATCAGGATAATGGGGAAAGATCAAAATTGGTTTGGATGTATAGCAGCATTTCAAAATGCTAAACAAAACACTTTTTGTGCTAGCAAGGCAGACAAAGTAAAGCAAAAGAGCTGTTGTTTTGCATCTGGTTGGTAAGAGAAGCAAACCCAACATATTTTAGTTGGGTGTTGAAGGTGATACAATACCAATGAAACCATGGCCACATGTGATCACAGGCAAAACTGCATTAGAGACTCAGAAAAAAAATCCAACCAATAATCTAGGAATGTGTTTTGCACAAGCTCAACGTGGAAGAAAACATTGTATTCGACATGATCAATTCTGGTTTTATTTTTCAACTTAGGAAACTAAACACCATTGCCACCTACTGGATAGGAAAAAACCCCAATAATTTCTAGTAAAATATTTTGACATTTTTTAAACAGCAAATTCCTCTAAACTTAGAGTGCTATACTCAGCTAAAAAATGGCAGTAAATACATTAGAACCAATTTGAAAATGCTTACAAATTTAAGGCTGGGGGAGGATTTCAAAGATCCAGGCAGCTTTGCTTTTCTAGGAGTCACGTGAGAATTTGCTAAGAGTTTTTTGTTTGGCTTTGGGGTTTTGTTGTGGTTTTTTTGTTTTGTTTTGTTGTTGTTGTTTTAAAGCTGGTGCAAGAATTAATAAGACAAATGAGTAGTCAGTATATGAGTGTCAATATATACATCAATGTATGCAACACATACATAATTTTTGTAGAATGTATGGTCTTAGAAGTCCCTTCTGTTTGAAGCAGTCTCCTTAGTAAAATCAAAGGTAAAGCCACATATCATGTATTTGTAGGAAAAAGCTGCAAGAACTGAATGATGTGAGAAAAACCTATACACAGAGAGTGTAAAATCTGAGATCTCAGATTTTTTTCATGTAGCCTCCCTGCTTCTTCCCATATGTAGTTACCTACCTGCAGCTGCTGAAGACTTGCTTGTGGTGAGTTGTCCTGAACTTGGTCAAACACAACTCTACTTCTTGCTCTCTGGGAGCACCTCTGCAGTTGCTTGGGCAGAACTAAGCAGCAGCTAGTCTACTTTTTATATCTACATTATTTGTTGTAACCCCAAACCCCAGCATAGGCAATGCTATGTTAATGTCAGCTGAAGTGGCTTGATCCTGAAGGTCAAATATCACAATAAATAAATAAATAAAATAATTAAAAAGTGGGACCCGAGTGTATTCAAAATCTCATTCTTTAACTCTAGGCACATGCTTTTCAATCACTACAAATTACTTTGGGGTTGTTTGGTGTTTTCTCCATTAAAATAACAACAATACTTTCTTGTCTGCCCCTGGTATGCAAAATTCTGACCTGCAGTTTGTGTTAGGGAGCTCGTCATTAGACTTATGGGATCTGTTGAAACAAGACAAGTTAAGACAACTTCAATATTAGAACTAAAATGTATATGTACTTTTTAAAAAATAAATAGAATCATAGAATCTTAGGGGCTGGAAGGGACCTCGAGAGATCATCTACTCCACCCCCCCTGCCAGAGCAGGGTCACCTAGAGTACATCACACAGGAACTCATCCAGGTGGGTTTTGAATGTCTCCAGTGAGGGAGACTCCACAACCTCCCTGGGCAGTCTGTTCCAGTGCTCTGTCACTCTTACAGTAAAAAAATGTTTTCAGATATTCACCTTGAACCTCCTATGCTCCAATTTACACCCATTACCCCTTGTCCTATCACTGGTCATCACTGAGAAAAGCCTAACTCCATCCCCCTGACACTCACCCCTTACATATTTGTAAACATTGATGAGGTCACCACTCAGTCTCCTTTTCTCCAAGCTAAAGAGACCCAGCTCCCTCAGCCTTTCCTCATAAGGGAGATGTTCCACTCCCTTAATCATCTTTGTAGCTCTGCACTGGACTCTTTCAAGCAGTTCCCTGTCCTTGCTCAACAACTTAATTATTGCAGTGTGAGGAGAAGAGCCTCAAACCTACCTAGTATTTGTATATTTACGCACAAGTATACATATATACCTGTATATATACATATTTGCAAATGAACAAATGTCTAGGAATACAAGTAGATTTGTATTAGTGATAGTAAACTACAAAACATTCTGGAAAAATTGAATGCTTATTTGTGGTTGTTCCACTACAAATTCCACTTAGTGATGCTTTTAATAGCAATCATGGAGGATGACCCTGGCATTTCCAGATCCCAAATTTTTAACTGTCTTCCCCCCCCTCTTTGAAATTGCATTAATATTCTTGCTTTCAATACTAAAACTCATACATGTGAGCAGAGTAATGATGACCACAGATGAAAAAGATCATGTCACTACAGTTGATAGATTCTGTCCCTTAACTTACAGGAAGAGCCACAAGGAATAAGAAGAGCCAGAGATGTAGTAAGGCTTTCTCTATAGTTCATTATCTATCAGTTTCACTGGCAGAAGTTGCTGATCATAGGCCTTCAAAAGCTTACTTTCTGTAGATGTTTCTGCTCTCCCAGACGTACCAGTGCACAAACTTGCATGAGAACTTCCTAATGAGTTTCTATTATAACATCCTGATTTAGCACACACTATTTAAACTAAGAGGCCATTTTGCATTAAATGGATTATAGAGCATCCTGTATCAAAGTTAAGGACACAGTTCCTCTGGCAGAGAGAGAGAGCCCAGCAGAAGGTACAGGAAGGGTGCAGCTGGATGGACTGTTCACACACAGCTACATTCAGTGAAGGAAGCTTCATTCATAGTACTTTGCAAAGTGTTATATACATGCATGTCTACATATCGACATATCTGTCTGTATATTTTCTAAAGGATGTCTATTTTGGAAGAAAACATTTAAAGACCAAAAACATGGATGTGTGGATGAGCAAGCAGTTTTTAAAAAGTAATTATCAGGAAGCTATGCCTTGAAGACTGCTCAAAAAAAAAATTTGGATTGTTACAGGCATCTCCAGAAGTGCACACAAGTTGACAGCAAAAGCCATGAAAGCAAAAGCACACAGTGACAGAGACGTCAGTGGTATAAGCACAAATCAGAGTTGGTCAATTACTGGGTGATCTCACTAAAGTAACACTTGAGATGGATAAGAATGGTTTTAGAGTCAGAGTCACAATCCAAACATCCACCAGATAGAAACAAGCCATATATGGTAAAACTTGAATATACTGAAAAAGAGCAAGGAGGCAGACAGTGTTAGCAAACATACAAAAATTACTCCAAGCAGACCCAAGACAAAAGCGAAGGAACCTTATTCCCATTCCAGCCTGGGGTGCTGACAACATCCATCTCCCTTCCCCCTTCCTCTGGTACCTCCCCTCCACCTCCCAACTTATTCTTAAAGATGATTAGCAACATTGAACTTAGAACGCAGGGGAGCATTGAGCAGAGATAGAACACCAGAGGAATGGATAGATAGGAGAAAATTTGTGTGTTAGCAGTTTTAACTGTATCATTAAGAATAAGCTGCAGCAATTGTACCCTTTGGATTATACACATTAGTAGGCCTGTAACTAGACTAATAATAACTCTTTTGTAGTTATAGCTGTAATTAGACTACCAATAAATACTTGGCTCCTATATTCATAGCTGCATTTCTTTATCTCACATGAATTGCACAAAGCTCCTGGTCTGGTATCTTGCCCTGGAGAATTTGTATGTGACAATTTCTATGCAGTTTGTATTCAACAACTCCACCTGCATCTAGTGCTACAGAATAGCTACTATGTATTATTCACTTGTCTGACTGACTTTTGGCAGATTTATACTCTGTGAATTCGTGAGACCAAGGAGTTCTGTCTGCTTCATACTCTATTGTTGTAAGTTTTCCAGTGATATTGGAAGGAAAACCTATCAATCAACATTGTTCAGTACACTGGTAATCACAGCATCAGAGCAGTACTCCCCAGCCTCATATACCTACCTAAACCTGTATCATCTTCAGCTTGCGACTCAGGTGGCTGATGGAGACTCAAGTTTTGTTTTGATCCACTAATTCATCTCTTAGAGCTTTTTTTACAGACTTCAGATGACTACTTTCTCAAATAATCAGAAACATTGAAGGGTGTCTAGCTACCACTAGATGGATCCTAGCAGTCAAGTCCTAAATACAGTCAAGGCAGCTTTCCTAAGTTATATCAGCTGAAGCCTTATGTTTCTTCATGTTGTATTGATAACAAAAAATAGTTTCTGTTTTATAAAAGAGACTGACCTGATGTAGTTAAAGGCATCATAGTAGTAAGATTTTCAGCAGGTACTGGAAGAAAGAAAGTTTATAATGAACTCCTTTAATAGCACAGTATCTAACTTTATATATAACTCAAAGAAAGGTTAAAAATTGAAACAAAATAATTGTGACTATTTCTCTTTGAATCACTAGCAATTTCCCACTTCCCTCCTTTTGACCATCTCACCCTTTTCTCAAACTCTATGATCTTCCTAAGGAGGAAAGGTCTATCTCCTTTTCAATCCCTATTCATTGTCTTGCATATAAAGTGTCTTCACCTGGGAAATCTCAGTCCTGACACTTTGTACTCTGGAGATTTTCAGAGCACCTGTGTCTTATAGAACAGTATGTAGATCAGATAAATGAGAAAAAATTAACCTGGGATAATTTGCAAGAAAGGAATGTACTTTTAATCACTATGAAAATTGATTTAAAGCAAGTCACACCTGTGTTATAGTTCACTCTCTCTCTGAAATAGGCATAAGGTTTCTCTTGCAAAATATACTGAGATATAGGGTGCAAAAGTGCTATATATGATAATGATTGTTGATTAGTTACAATTGTTATTTTATTGAAGCACTCTTGATGGAATGGACAGACGATATCTTATGTGAAAGAGGCATTTTAGTGATCCACAGCAAGAAAAGTTTGACTACTACAAAGTTCAGAGGGTGTACAACCTTTTAAAAGGCTCTTCATAATTTTCTTTGGTGGCATTTTGAAATATAATTAGCAATCACTTCTCACATTGATGTGCAGTTATTTACAACAGCTTCTTATATATGGTGCAAATAGTAAAGAGGAATAAAGATGTAAAAAATCTGAATTTAGCCTTTGAATCTCTGAATTACTTAGCAAAAAATCCACCTTTTAGAATAGGGTAAGAGACATTGCACACCAGATGTCCCACTCCTCCTAAAGCAATCAGTTGCTACTTAATATTATCTCCAGCAGGTCTTCAAATGTCAGCTAATCAGCTTCCACTTCAGAGGATTCAAATTACTTTTTATCCTTGTCCCCACTGGAGGTCTTTTTTGAAGCTTATTGAGGTAAAAACAAGGATTCCCGTTGATCTTGCTCTGCTTCCATGTAGGCTTTGATAAATTTTCTAGCACTTAGATAAAGTAATTATGTTTGTACATTTGCAGAATTCATAGCTACCTAGTCTTTAAAGTCACATTTTAAAAAAAAAAATTAAAAATTATTTTATTTACCTAAGCTATAAAGTCTGAAGTCAGTTTCTTGAGGGTACTTTTCCAGAAGCCCACATTCTGTATTGAGTTTGTTGCTCTTACTGACATATTTTCACTCACTGTAAGGCTGAGCCCTTTTCCTTACTCTTCAGCAAAAAAAAAAAGAAAATGATAATTGTATTTACTTATGAAACAACACAGTTGGGGCTTAATTACTTTAATTTGAGGGATAAAAAAATTAATAATGTTATGCCACATAAAAGAGATTAAATTCAGTAATTTTCACTGGGAAATCACTACTTTGTCCCTTATTCCCCCCTTAGTGAACATAAATAATTCTGACTCATTCTTTCAGGTTGAGGAGGTTGTAAACATTTCTTACTGAAAGTTCTGCAATGGGGAAGGAGGGCAACCATCAGCATAAGTGACAATCTCTTTTCCTGTTTGCCAGCCACAGTTTATATTTATGCTGCCCATAGTTCTCCAGGATTTATACAGAGAAAAAAATGCTTACTATCATTACCTGTGATTTGTATGCTGTTCACATCAATTTTCAAAGTCTGGGTAAGATAAGTTTCATTTGTATTTATGCCCAAAACCAGCTCATTTTTTACTTTCTCAACTGCTACCATCTGGGTGAAATAAATGTTGAAGTTCACAACGACACTAGCAATACAAAACAGAGAAGGTGATTAGTTATGCAAGCTAAAAAGCTGATATATGACATATCATCTAGACAATATTTAATTCCAACACAAGTTCCATTTGTAAAGCCAGAGTATCTTGAAGTGGTGGCTGGTGAAAATGACACAAAGAAACTCTTAATTATCATGTAAATTAAAACCTTGGAGAAACACCTTTTTTTCCTCCTATTTTTGTTGTGACATTCATATAAATGGAGCTGAATTTGAACAAACTAAAGGAGAAGTAGGTATACAGTTATTCTACAAGGCCTTCTAGTTTAAGCCTTAAAAAATTAAGGGTGCACCTTGAAGTGAAAATTATAGAATATATTCATATTACAGAAACAATACAAAATAATAACTTCTATAAAGCAACCATCATCTGTGGATTCTGCATCTGTGAGGATATGCTGTGTGACTGCCTGGATTCTCATAAAGAAACTGTAATGGCTGAAAACAGTTATTTTTAAATTAGTGGTTAAACTACATTTAACTTGTACGGGGCCTGAATTTTATCCAGTGCTGTCTGCTTTCTCCTATGTTTTCTAGAAACTATTCTTGCATTTCGTATTTGTAGCTAGACTACGGTACTGTCAAAGTATGATGCTTGCTAAAGTTTTTCTCCATTTACTTAAATTTGTGTGCAAAATTTTTATTCTTAAGCATTTATACAACCCAATTGCAGCTGACTCAGCAGTGCTTTTTTGTAAGGGTTGATTTATCCTGCCATTTTGCTGAGCCTAGTTTGCAGTTTGCAATATATAGAAAAACTCTCCTCTTCAATTTCTTACATGTTTCTGATAACATCTAGGCCATGCTGAGCAAACAAAACCTTTTATTGCTATCCTTGTGACTCAGTACAGTTTCAAGGGTGAATTACAAGGATATTGCTCAAAGGAGTAAACAATTTTTAAATTAAGAGTCAACTAGAAAATAATTTCTGACTCAAAGTTATATTTCAAGTACTATTTCAAAGCAGAAATAAAGACAGATCCTTACTGATGTATTGAAAACCAGGTCAAACCAAATTCTGCTGATTGGATTTACCTTACAAGGACAAAAACCTGTAAATTACCTATTCCTACCACTGTGTACTCCACTTCCCCTGATATTATAAAATCCTTCATAAAGAGATCATACTCCAAGTTTCTAGCTAATTATGTTTATGTTTTCACTATTCCAATAAAAATATTGCTCTAATTCTGATCTGCTCCCCATTTTCAACATACATGAATTCACAGTTATCTAATATAAACTTTTATTTTGCAATCATGGTCATTCAACTGAACTCTTTCCTCTTTTCTCCACTTTATGTATTTACAGAAAACATGCATGTCACAAGAAAAAGTGGTATTGCAGAGTCACCCACTTGCATCATCTGTCATGTTCGCTTTTATTTAATTTCACCTATCAGATGGTATATCACCTATAAGATGACTAATTATATCATTAATTTCTCAGGGTCTTGTAGTTCTTCTAGAGTCTTAATCTTTTGTGCTGTTTTCTCCTGCCTATTATACTGTGTCATGAGACCTTTCTTTAACCTGAAGTTACTAATGATAAGGTGAGATCTGCCCCTCAGTCTAGGCCGCTTTCCACTGCAAGCTCAGCACAAACTTATTCTGTGTCCTTATCTTTCCCATTTTTATTTCTAAGTTGACAGTCTCAAAGACTATTGTTGTTTTTTTTTTGTTTTTTTTTTACTTTTTTTTAACCTTTAAAGATATTTTTGGATGAAAGATGTCTTGAAACTTCAAATGCTATTTAGTGGGCCTTATCCAATCTCTAAAGTTCTATTTTTTCATCTAATTACTGTCCACAGAACTTTCAAAATTAATAGCATCATAGTCTTTTACTCATGTTTTAAGTAAACTTTGTCATGTGCAATTACCCAGTCTCTGACTTGAATCTTCTACGACTGTCTTCAGATTTCCTGTAGGAAAAAAAACCCAACACCATGACTATAAAATAAAACACGACATAAGACCATATGGTTCCCCTTGAGTTGGGGAATGATGTGGACAGGATAGAAGCATGTTCTGAAACTGTTTAATAATGGGAGATAGCATTAGATTTGTTTTGCTCAATCAGGATCTGATTCTGCAGAACAGCAAAGACAGTATTAACACTGCAGACCTCACTGCACCGACTAGAGTTTTTGCCAGCTGGCATTCAGTAGGACAACCAACATCACATCGTATTGAAAAATGAGGTCAAACAAACTTTAATAAATGAAAAAGATCTTACTATATCTATTTTACAGACTCTTTAGAAGACACAGGGTACAGCTGTACCCTGTGTCTTCTAATGACAGCCTCACTAGCTAACTCCCTAAGGAATAAAAGTTAAGTACATCCATATCCATATGGACATGGCCTGGCCACAAGGGCACATTGCTGGCTCATGGTCATATTCCTGTCCACCAGGACCCCTAGGTCCGTTTCTCCTACACTGCTCTCCAGCAGGTCAGCCCCCAACCTGTACTGGTACATGGGGTTGTTCTTCTCCAAATGCAGGACTCTACACTTGCCCTTGTTGAATTTCATCCAGTTTCTCCCTGCCTGACTCTCCAGCCTGTCTAGGTCTCACTGAATGGCAGCACAGCCTTCTGGTGCGTCAACCTCTCCTCCCAGTTTAGTGTCATCAGCAAACTTGCTGAGGGCACACTCTGTTCCCTCATTGAGGTCATTGATGAAAACATTGACTAGGACTGGACCCAGTACACACCCCTGAGGGAGTCCACTAGTCACAGACCTCCAACTAGATTCTGTCCCATTGACCACAACTCTGACTTCTTCTTTTGAACCAGTTCGCAATCCACCTCACTACCCAATCATCCAGACTACACTTCTTCAGTTTAGTTAAGAGGATGCTGTGGGAGACAGTATCAAATGTTTTATTGAAATCAAGATAAACCACATCTACTGCCCTACCATCATCTACCCACCTAGTTACATCCTCATGGAAAGCTATCAGGTTATATATAATATAGGATATATATATAGAATATATATATATTTATATATACTATATTATATAAGACACATATAGGATGTATAGAATAACATAGGATGTTCCCAAGGATCTCTTAAAAAAAACAGGACTTGTTAAACACTCCTGACAGAAATAACTGTGAGAACTTTTCATATTTATTTGCAAAGTTAAGTCAAAACTGTACCTACTTGAAATGGGAAATTCCACATCTCCGGTATTGTTTTTTCAGATGGCTTGCTTGAAAGACTTTTTCTATCTATATGGAAAAGAGGAATCTTGAACCAATACAGTGATTAGAAACACATCCAGTGACACACTGCATTCATTGTTTTCATACTTAACAGATTTCCTTCCCAAATCTAGACTACAGAAACAACCTTTTTCTGTGATACTTTATTGATTTCCACAAATAAGGAAAATATTGTGCCTTACTAGGTTTGGGACCTGAAATATCTCTTTTTGGAGAAAGGGAAAAGTCATCAACAATATGTTATGCTAGGAAATTAGTATACCTACCACATGCTCTTGAATTAGGCAGAGACCAATAGGTTCTTACCAATTGTTCAACATCAAAGGCAAGGACTTTGAACTCAGCTGATGATCTGTTTTTCAAAGCAGGAGAGAATGATGTCTCAGAGAGTATTTTAAATGTTCCCATGTAGCCATGAGTATTCCCATCTGCTTCATCTAGATAATTAAAAATAAAATTCAGTGTGTTGAAATACATAGAAATAACTGCAACATTGCATTATGTTTTATTCAACAGAGGTCATCAAAACAATAGCTTTCCATATAATTTTGCAGTCAGATATTTTTGCTACTACTGATTTATTTTTTTTTAAGTAATAGACATTTTTCCACAATTGCAATGGTTACAACTGTAAACATATTTTTCTGAATACTATTTTTCCTTGATTCTCATTACTTTCAATTTTCTTAAATGCTGTTTTCCAGAAGCACTGTGAATGGATAAAGATTACAATGGCATGTCCAATTATGTCTAACAAAGGGACAAAAATACTTGGGAAGAATGATAGCAAATTATGGGATGTTTTTAACCTGTATTAAAAATATTAGTAATTACTATTTCACACTTTCTGTATTAAATGCTGTGTGTGTTTTTATATGAATATACGCTGGGTATGATGATGGCACTGGAAACACTAGTGTCAGAGTAGTTAAACTGCTTTTGATCTGACCTTTCTTACCTATACATACATTAAATTCTAGAAGGATTTATGAGGAAACTAGATAACTAGTCCTTACTGTAAATTTAATCTTGATTTTTAGTATGTTACAACATATAAGGTATGCATAAAGCAATTCATTATGCATTAAAAATATTTTCACTCTGTAACACACTGGAAATTTTCAGATAAGGCTTGATGTGGTTGATTGATTGGTTCAAAATTTCTCTTACCAGTTACAGTACCAGTGGTATTTTTAAGTTGAGTTAGAAGGCTAACAACATCCAAAACAAGTTTTATCACAAAAGCAGATAACTAATAAATACTATATGAAATAGATTGTGATGGAAGGCATAGCCTAGTGACAATATGCTACAATCAGCTAGTAACAGCAGATCACTTTTGAGCTTCTTTGACAGCCATTTATCCTTACAACAATTGCAAATCTGTTTTAACAAACGTTTCTAAATAGTTAAGGTCTTTTTTTGTAATACATGTCAAATTTGATTTGAAAAAAATATAATTATTATCCATACAATTCTTGCTGTTCATCTTCTAAAACCTAAGCAATTAATTTAAAGCCTGTTTCCATCTAGATGCCATAATATATCATCATTGTCATCAAGTGATTTTATATTACTGGAATGTGATAATAGTCTGGTAAGAGGGGAAGAAAGTCAGTAGGGACAACAAGTTCTAAAATCTGGAATGAAAAGCAACAGCAACTAAAGGAATAAACTTGATTATTCTGACAAAACTTTAATTTTTTTTTTGTCAATATGGCTTACGGCAATTTTAGTCTTCATGTGTTTCAGTATTAAATAGCATGGACTTTTGGTTAGTAAAGGCACCAAAGACTTCAATGCAACAGAATTACACGTTCAGCTACAAAAAACATTGGAATGAAAATGTTTATTTCTTGAACTTTTTGCTTATCCTGTTTCCTTTGCCTCATTTCAAAACATTTTAAAATTTAGTTTACCTTGAGTATCAGTAGCTTGATTCTGTCACATTCTGAGCATTGGCTAAATACTAGGAACTACTTTACCTTAATTTTACATAGGGTTGGGAGATGACTGTCTAATGTAGGATCTCTCTCACACCAATAAATTACTTCAAAATATATTTTATAGAATCAGAAAGATTCCAAGAGATGTAGAACACCTAAGGACCCCAACAGACTCCACTGGATTATCAACATCTTTCTGAGTCAAATCTCATAGATGGAGAAAAAAAGCAAAAATTCACAATTTACCATATTATCATCTCTAGTTGATTAATACAATTGAGTAACCAAAGTTTTATAGCTCAGATTGCATTCCAGGGACCTCTCCCAAAGTCTAAACAATTAAAATTATGTTATGGTCCTTCAGGGCGTGCTTTGAGTCATTCTATTTTTGCCTACTTTATGCACACCAATTTCTAGGAGAGAAGAGGAGGAAAACATTTTAAAAATCCCCACTCATCACCCTCCCAGCATTAAAAACATAACATGAAATATTATAATTAGAGTGAAAACACCACTGGCTTTGAAGTCTGAATGTCCACTGAAAAACTCATGAAGAGGTTAAAGGCACTTACCTTGTTCTAACTCCTGAATTGATAACCATGAAAGTATGACCAGCCCAACAGAAACACACACAAAAACTGCAAGCAGAGAAGCAAACATAATTTCATAGCAACTAAGAGGAACATATTTCTTATCAGATAATGTTCTCAGCTTCATTTCTGTCTTGAATGCTTGTATGAATTACGGACTGACAAAAGACACAACCTGCATAGGAGGGTAATAATCCACATGAACAGATATTTATAGGAGATGCTTGTAAATTAATTACACCATAAAACTTCATTAACATAGGTTTTTACAGCTTTCCTGAACAGTCATATTCATGCACAAGATATGCAAATATGAAGAAAAGAAATCTCTTCAGAAGCAAAGCATGAGCTTTTATTGCCTGTTTTCTCCCCCTGTCCTGTCGAGGAGAGGGAGTGATGAAGGGGCTGAGTGGGCATCTGGCAGTCAGCCAAGATTAATCCAGTGCAGTCGTTCATGCTGCAGGAAACAATCCTAGTTTATTCCTGTCTTATTCCTAATCAGACATTTTCTTTTACAAATCTGAGGAGTTTTGTGCAGATAGTCTTTGGATTCCTCGCTCAAATTTTGAATAATGTAACCATTTGTATAACTGACATTGTATAGCACTAGTAAGAGTTATACACTATTACCCAATGTTGCAACTGATTTTCAAATTCTGAGTTTATGCCCTAATAGTGAAGTGATTAACTGGAGAAAAAGTAGAAATCCTAGGCATTTACAGTCAGTTCTTTTAACACGACCTTGTATGTGTTAGCCGAGTTGTATGTACACTCATATACATTGATTACAGTCTGGCTGAGGATGTAACCCAGAACAGATAGTCTCCAGTTGGAGTTATGATTCCATGCAAAGGAACTCATTTGTTAAACAATTCTGGCTGGCAACCAGGCCTGGTAGCAATAATCAGTAATTAAGACTGAGCTTTTTAGGTTGTTGGTGACATACTGTAGTCTGTACTACTGTGAGCTGGCTTATTAAGAATATAAGAACTTCTGATTTCACATATTCATTTGTAAATCTTCAAAATGAGTTGGGCAGACTTCAACACTGTGCCAGTGCTAACTCACTGTTAATCAAGAATAGTAGAAGCAGAATTGTTTATATTGGAAGTGACCTATGAAGGCCATCTGGTCCAACCTCAAGCCGAGGTTAAAAGAAATTAGGCCAGGCTGTTCAGGGCCCTACCCAGGGAAGATGTGAATACCTCAGATTCAGGACTTTGCACTTGTTGAATTTGGTTGAACTTTGTGAATCTTATGTCAGGGCATTTCTATGTCCTTAATGACAAGTACATCCTGTAACTGCAAACTTCCCTCTAGCCATTGACTCCACCTGCTTCTTCTCTTTTATTCCTTGTTTAGTTACTTCCTGTTCATTCTCTTTCTACAACCTTAACTCTATTTTTTTTTTTTAGATTGTATTTCTAAGGTTTATTTTTCAGTTCCATTTCCTCTATAGACTACAGGACTCTTGAAAGTTTCAGTTATCTGGTTTGCTACAAGACTAAACTGATGAAATGGTGTGATTCATTCAGGAAAAGAATAAGCATTAACTGATGTTACTCCATCTACTGCAATTAATGAGTATTCCCAGCTCATGAACAGCCTGCTGCACATAAATTATTCACTGGAGAAAGTAATATAAAATTAAAAATAATAAGCCAGATTATTCTATTGGCAAACAATTTGCAAAAAGGAAACTAATGAAATCAGTTGAATGTTATTTTCTAAGCTCTAGCTGTATGATACTATCTGTGAACTGTATGACAAAACAATTATACCATGATTTAAAAATAGCTTAAAAGGTACAAATGTAAAAATTCTTTATTAATTTGTTCAAAGCCAGAGAAATAGAATAACTTATTTAAGTATTTAAAATTGATAATTTTTAAACTATTACCACAGTCATACCAGTGAAATATGAGTCCATTGACAAAGCATAAATCACTTCTGAAAAATCATCCAGTCAGAAGTTAGCCCTGATATTCTCCATTATGGCCCAGTGTTTGATTCCTACTCCTCTGAGTAACTACAAGTAATTCCATCCAGCTACTTAGAATCCTATTACACTCCTAACTCATTTGTGAGTCTTACTGCTTACCCCTGGTAGCAGAGGATTTAGTATTTGAGCTCACATGTGAAATAGACATTTGGCTGCTTAACTTTTGTCTTCTTACACACCGTGAAATAAGTGTAAGAAAAAGTTTAACAAGGTAAAGACACTGGGCAAGAAGTCAAGCACACAAGATCAATGAAAGCATTCAAGTTCTCTCAAAAAGAGTGTTTGTTTTAAAGATAAATTGAGCAATAATGAAACTGACCAACAAATCACTAGAATTGTATTCAAGCAGCTTAGCTAGAAAGATATCGGCAGACTAGCAAGCTAATTCTAACTTGTAAGGAAAGTCATAGGGAAGGGAAGTATGACAGTACTGGGTGAAATGCCCTTTTATCAATTTTTAACTAACTAGCAACACAAATTTCATCTAAACTAGGTCTAAAGAATAATTCACCTTAAAAAAAATCTGAAAAAGAAAAAAAAGCACTATTGAAAAATAGAATAAGCAAAAGCAAATGCTCAAATTCTGTCAACAGGGAAAAGAAAAATATGGCAGCCTAAGTTGTAGTCAGAGTATCTACAAGTTCCAGTTTTTCTTCCCAGAATTACAACAAATGTACTACAACTCTAAGTCTTCCCTAAAACATCATGAGTGGATCTCCAAGTGTGATGCCAAAAACATATCCAGGATTCATTCATCCCTAAGAGACAACCATTGAATAAACCACCTTTTGTCATTGTTAATACCACTGAATCAGTGGTTTAGGTTTTCATGCCAAGAAAATCCAAGACAAAAAAGTTAAAAACATGTCTTTGACTTGGTATTACTGCACAAGATGCTCTCACACAAGGTCTACAAATCCAGCCCTACACTTCTGTTCCCACGTTACTAATGATGAAAAAATCTCATGCTGTTTTAGGCAGAGAAAAAGATTCTTCTTACCAGTACTGGCTGCCCTGACCCATGTGGCTGCTCCTCCTTGAGTGTCCAACACATATCCTCCAGAAGCTCTTGTTAGGAAGATGCTACCTCTCTAAGCTCTCTATTCTCTTTGCCATGTTTGGACACTTCCCCCCTCCTGAGCAGTTTAAGAAGGTGTGTTAATCACCTTATCTGCCCTGGCACCTGGGAAAAGCCCAATTACTAAGAGTAGCTAGGCTCACAGGCAGGCTTGTGAAACTGTTGCCAGGGAGGTAAGAAAACAGTTTTGATTAAAAACACAAAATATCTAAATTGTTGAATAAATTACAACTCAGTCTTAGCAACTGACACAGAGATCACTTACAAGAAAACAACAGGGCAATTCTAACAGGTAAGCAGGGCACAAAGTCGGTATTCTTTATTCACAGCACAAGACACACAGGGGATAGCTCCTCCAAAAATGTGTGTGCCTTACTGTGTAAGGTGAGAGATATATATGCAGCTGATACTTAATTATGTGTAATATTTCTAAGAAATGGTTAGATATTCATTAGTTTCCTGATAAATTATTTACATAAGTGTCCGCCCATTATTGCGTGAGTGTTAAGTCCATTAGGGCCTCCTGGGCATTGTTTATTTCATCCTTGTGTCTTCCTTGCATGAACCTTTGGACAAGTTCTGTCTCTTCTCCTGTTTATCTCTGCTGACTCTCAAGTAGAATTGGTTACAGTAGGGACACCTAGTTGCAGTTGAATGGCTTCCCTAAAACTACAGATAAGCTCACACAAAAAGCTTTTACAAATTCCTAACAGTAGGCCAAGATGAGAGATTGCACCCTCTGTTTCCCTATCTATCTTCTCGGGTTTTTTTTTCCTATTTTGCAGGTATATTGTTTATTTTTCAGTTGCGTGTATCCTCCATGAGAGTTACGTGGGATGTAATCCTCATGATAATCTTCTTGAATTCCCTTACGTTTTCCCATTCAACTTAGAGAGTCCCTATGAGAATTGACTTTCTTCAGCATCTCAGAGTTAGCTAGGTGTGCTCCTGGAGATGCTGATTAGAATAAATTATGGTCAACACCAATCAAAGCTTCTTAATGTTCATTTTGCTGTAGTTACTTTTTCCTTTAGAAGGAAAAAAACACTGGAGTTTTTTGAATGATAAAGTTGCCATCTATGTTGCATCTGAAGGAGAACCTGTGGAGATTTCCATGGGCCCAGAGTCTCCCTCTTGATAAACCATGATAATTTGGAAGCTCATCTTCCATGTACTTCCAAGTGAATATGGTATCCATTAGAGAAAAATGAGGGAAACAATGAAAAATGTGGTGCTGATACTGTTGACATAATACAGTGTGTAATGTCTGCGAGTCAGCACTTCTGAAACGGATTCATTTACATATATTTGCCAACACTGAGCTGGTTTGCCATGTAGCCTGGGTAAATCTGAGTTAAGCTCTAGCAAAGGTCCATGAGTGTGTGATAACTTTCCATGCATCTCTCACTAATCAATCTCTCTCTGTTACTGCAGGTGTACTGCTCTGCACCTCATGGGTTTGTCCTTATGTTTTCCAGAATATCTAAAGTAGTCTGAAAGATGAAAGTGGCTGAGTTTGTGGGTATTTTCAGTTAAAGCAGGGAAAACATGAAAGCAGTTGGTAGCTTGATGCATAGTTTTTGCCTGAATTTCAAAATGTAACATATTTTATGTTACTCATTACAAATTAGACTGTAGTTTATTTTATACATGCATTAAACCAAATCCAGAGCCCTGTTTGGTTTACAGCCTTTCATTCATTTCTCAGTATTCTAAAGACATCTAAGATTATTAAGGAAGCTCTAAGGAACAAAATAAAAGTATCATGAATCTGCTGTAAAAAATCTGTGATGTGCCCATCTCTGTTAATCAAGAACATAGAGGCAATAGAGTCTGAAAATACATAGAGAAAGGCTAAAGAGATAGAGCAAGGGGCACCTCACTAGTTAAGAACTTGAAAATTTGGAGAAATTATGTTTGTGGGAGATACGAAGGAAAGTCATAAAAACATCCATTGCCTCTTGTCTTATTACAGGTCATGCCTGAAAAGAGATTGGTGCCTTGTCTTGACACCCACCCTTCAGATATTTATAAATATTAATAATGTCCCCTCTCAGTTTTCTCTTCTCTAGACTAAACAGTCCCAGATCTCTCAGCCTTTCCTCATAAGACAAGTGTTCCAGTCCCTCAGTCATCCCCATAGCCCTCCATTGGACTCTCTCAAGTAAGTCCCTGTCCCTCTTGAACTGAGGAGCCCAGAACTGGATGCAGTACTCTAGGTGGGGTCTCCCTAGGGCAGAGCAGAGGGGGAGGAAAACGCCCCTCAACCTACTGGACACACTCTTCTTAATGCACTCCAAGATACCCTTCGTCTTCTTGGCCACAAAGGTACATTGCTGCCCCATGGATAACTTATTGTCCATCAGGAATCCAAGGTTCTTCTCCACAGAGCTGCTTTCTAGCAGGTCAGCTCCTAATCTGTATGTGGAGAGTCAGTAAGGGATTAAGCTACTAGAAGAGGCCAGCTGTAAGTGGTAAATCTATCACTTAAACTTGTTGCTAATGAGTTGTGAAAGTCTTTTGTATGAGCTTATTTGTAGTTTTAGGGATAGACTACAAGAGTCCTTGAAGAAGCCATTCAACTGAGACAAAGAATGTCTTCTGTCTCCCCTGCTGATAAAAGGAAGACAGGATAAGAAGACTCCCTGATAAAGTGATGGTCTTAACATAATAACAGGTGTACACTTATTTAGATTTAAATGAATAGGTAAACTGCTTGTGTAATCTTTGTGTGGACACCACATGGACAGGGTACAGTTGGTTAGCTAAGCACCTGTAACATAGCAGAGGGAGAAACAATGTTTAGCAAGGACAAGCCTTAGGGTATAAAAGAGAGAATGTACTGACAATACTGGATTTTTGCCTGGAATAAATGACTCCTGTTTGTACCAGAACTAAGGTCTATGCCTACATCTGTACTGGTGCATGTTGTTATTCCTTCCCAGGTGCATTATCTCATTTACATGCCAGCCCTGGCCCACTCAATCTTGAGATCCAGGGCAGAACAGACCGTTCACAGGCAGGTGGGGTAGACCCTTCAGCAAGGAGCCAGTGTCTCAGGTCTTGACGATTCCAGGTGCCAGAGGCACCGTGCAGGAGTGGTGTCTATTTAGTCACCCTTATATGTTGAAATAGTTTTATGGGAGACTTTTTTTTTTTTTTTTGTGGTAAGGGGCATAATCCTTACACTAAATTGAAACATCTAGAACAGAAAAAACCCACAACATTCTGAATTGAGTGGATAGAATTCCAAGTTTTTGCAGTCTTATGGTTGCTTAGACCATTAAATAAATTTAAAAAAAATAATAATTTTTCTTATTGAAGGTTGATATACAGCCTGCGAATCACAATAAAGACTGAATGTTATTTCAGGGATGCATCAGGCCTTGTCAAAGCCAAGTAGTGGTTCTGTGCCTGCATGAGAGGAGAGAGAAAAGATTATCCTTTACCTAACTGAAACAATAGTTCCTTGAGCAAAAGTTTTATGTTCCCAATGGACTCCCTGAAGCACGTGAAGCCTCATACTATTTGCGCCTTCCAGAGAGTGCTCCAGGAGTGCTTTTGACACAAGAGACCCAACAGATGGGAGCTCAGCAGTTGGAACAGGGGTTCAATAGCCTGTGAAGCATGCAGGTAAAACCAGTCTGTATTCAAATATTTGCTATTATGACTGTTTGGACCCTTGAGAGCCAAGGAAAATTATGACAAAGAAGCAACTATTTTGAGATGGAATATACAAACATAATTTTTAATCTCTGAGATGTAATTTTTAGTTTGGGAATTGGCATTAATTTTCCCTTATTAGATACTGATTTTGGAGATGAGTTCCTTTAGGTAGCATGATTGTTTGATAATGCAGAAAGGATATATATTAATAAATGTTATAGGAAATTGTATAGTGGCCTGTTAGCAGTTAAAGATTAAGAGGTCACTTTGACTTTTGTGACTTTAAGCCTCATTTATGACTGGCAGACATCATTATTACTACTTTTCTTAAAAGAGTGATTTCCATTTCAATTTTTGTTTCCTAGATTTGTGGATAGAGAGTTATTATTATTATTGCCTAAAATTGAGATAATTCAGACAGTGCTGTTGAGCTGCAGAACTTTAATTTAAGTATTATGTTTTCAATCCATCCCATCACCCAAATATTTAATGATGTATCTCTCCTAGAAAGAATAAGTGCCTAACAAAATCAGATGTGAATTTTCTGAAAGATCAATAAGATCTACTGCAAAGAAGCAATTTTAAAGTGAATAATGACACACTTGGAAGATATCCATTGACAAATTTGCAATTTAGAAGAGTAAATTTACAGTCTTATCAAAGAAGTGCACTCCAAATCTATCTTTCAGAGATTTTTTGCATAACTCTTCCCTCATAATATCCTTACTAAATGTGATGCTGCTCAGTGTGATCACATCAGGCTACCATATTCAGATGATTTAGCCTTTAATTGAGAACTGTCATCTAGTATTCAAAACAGCAGGAAAGTATTTTTTTTTATCTTCATCTAGTGGACTAGAAACTGGTTTTGGCACTTCCCAAGGTTTCCAAACAGCCTGATGTAGTTTATACAAAAAAAAAAAAAAAAGGAAAAAAAATTTAAAAAAATAAAAAAGGGGGTGAGGGATAGGTGCAACTTTGAATGTATACCCAAGAAATAGAAAAGCTTGGGAATACTAGGGAGCCAAACCATAGAAACATTAAAATTTTAGAATGCTTAGGGGATTCTCTTTTGCCTCTTCATCTTTCAGTTGTTTTCCTAATATCTTGGTCCCACTTGCACACTCATCTTGTGTGTATGTTTGAAAACATAATGTTCAGATAAAAAGACATTATCATGTAAACAGTAAGATTGTGATGCATGCATAAACTATCCTAAATAATTATATATGAAAGTGAAAAAAAAATTAAAACATACAAAATCTGTGTTTTGAGATGGAACCCAAAACTGCACAGCAATTGTAAAAGATGTGCTTTCCAAATTTATACATGGCAGTGTACAAAGTTAGTATTCCCTGTGGCCCAGAAGTCAGTTCACAAGAAACTACAGGCATTCCTTTCCAGTCATCAAAGTGTATCTACAAAATCTAAGGGATAGTGGGTCTTTGGAAACAGAAGTAAATGAGAAAGAGACTTTAGAGGGAGCTGAGTTCTAAGAAAATGCAGTCAGACATTCTGTCAGAAGTCAAAGTCTTTCTTAAAGTTTGCCAGAAAAAAATGTTTCATTATCTCCAAAGAAAAAGGTTTAGAGGAAAGCTAAGTTTTCTCAGCTCTTAATTGTTAATGTAGGTAACTGGAGTTCTCGTGATCTAAACACATGCTCTGGAATCAATTATTTCTGCTTCTTGCAACTTAGTAACATATTATTTTTTTTTTGACAGCATTAGGGAAAAAAAAAACCAACCAAACCAACAAAACAAAAAACCAACAAAACAAAACCTCTTGATCTGCCTATACATTTAAAAAAATAACCCTGAAATTGATCTCTAATCAAGGTAAGTCTGGCAATGTGCTTCCAGTAAAAGAAATAACTACTCTACCCTGTGATTATATCCATCAACAGCTTGATACTCATCCACACCACCATCCCTCCAAACTTCAAAAAGATGCCCAGAAGGCAAGGGGAAGTGCCTGGTTACACATACCTTCTTGATGAACAAATAGGTATGCAGCCCTGCTGCATTCAACTGTTCAGAGAAAGCAACATGTGTCTGCAGGGCCTCACAGGTTTATGTACGACACAGGCATACCAAAGCAATCCAAGTGCAATTTGTAGTATCAGGGCAACAGAGTGGAAGGAGAGGAAAGCTGTTCTCAAATGTGAGCTGCTTGCCTCAATGATGCCAATTTACCAAAAAGCCAAAATGTCAGGCACAGATGTAAATATAATTTACAGTAGCAGGAGGTAGCTGTATTTGTATTCTGCTCACGCTTTTGGCACACACAACAAGTACAGTGTAGTGCCAGAGAAGGTGCCTGGTTGGGGTGGCAAAGTCCTTGCTGTCACCCCGTGACCAGACCATGAAGCTGTGCATCCACCCATAGAGCTGGAAATGAGGGGTACAGCAGCTGGCAGCTTGGCAGCTACCTAGTGCTCCTGAGTCGTTAAGAAAATGCATTGCCTGTTGTCTCTTAGTGAGGTTCTTAAGAGAGAAGGCAATCAGTGCAATTTTCTAAATATTTTGGGATATTTCCTAAGAAACCATAAAAGTGGTTTTCATTCTTGTGAGCAATGTTATGAGACACAGACAACATTTTTCATCTCACACCTGTGAAGAGGACTGAGGGACAACCACAAACAGAAGTGTTTGTTTCTGTTTTGCTCTGACCAGGAGACAAAAAGTCACTTGATGCTAGTCGGAGTAGGCTTGGGCATGACTCCATCAGCAGTAGTTGCCATGACTACCTCTCATGGTGAAACCCTCTGCCCACCGGTCTGGGTAGCCGGTGCCAGGGAAGGCAGCAGGGAAAGGGGACTGCACCATCAGTCTGGGGTGACATGACACCATGGTTTGGAAGTGGAGGCATCTGACTGGGAGGAAGGATTCACAGCACTTTTGCTTGTGTGTTTGTGAAATATTGAAAAGGCACTGGAAGAAAGATGGTGCTTGCCTATTCTGAGGAATTTTGTAACTTTGAATCATAGAATCATTTTGATTGGAAAAGACCTCTAAGATCATCAAGTCCAACAGTTAACCCAGCACTGCCAAGTCCACCCCTAAATCATGTACTTAAGCACCTCATCTATACTTTTAAAATACTTCCACAGATGGTAACTCCACCATTTCCTTGGGCAGCCTGTTCCAGGGCTTCCCCGGACAGCCTGACAACCCTATCAGTAAAGAAATTTTTCTTAATATCCAATCTAAACCTTCCCTGGCACAACTTGAGGCTATTTCCTCTTGTCCTATCAATACTTAGGAAAAGAAACTGACCCCACCTCACTGCACATCCTTTCAGGTCTAGAGAGTGATCAGGTCTCCCTTCAGCCTCCTTTTCTCCAGACTAAACAACCCCAGTTTCTCTCAGCTGCTCCTTATAAGGCTTGTTCTCCAGACTCCTCAGGAGCTTCATTGCCCTTCTCTGGACACACTCCAGCACCTCAATGTCCTTCTTGTTGTGAGGGGCCCCAAATCAAACACAGGATTTGATGTGTGGCCTCACCAGTGCCATGTACTTCTCCATGGGTTGCAGAGTCTTTTTGAGAGTGACAGCACAGGCTGAAGTGCCCTGCCAAGCCAGAAATTGCAAGCACTACTAGCAAGTGGTCTGATTGTGAATCTCACTTCATATTTTTCTGTATCCTAATTTTCCCTTCTGGATTTTTTCTCCTGTCTACATGACAGAGCCATCAGAGACCAGTTGTTGCAGCCTCACCACCCTCTAGTAATGTAGCACGCACACATAGCAGC